GCCGCAGGGGGTACTGGTGCTGTCCCTGCTGGTTCTGGAAGCGCTGCGCGGCCGAGGCCGTACTTCGTTCCGCTCCTTGAGCAGGTTCTTGGTCTCCCGCCCTCTACTGGTCCTGCTCCTCCCTTAGAGTGTCCACAGCCTGTCCAGTCGCGGTCACAGTTACAGCCCGCCTCCCCCCTACCTGCTCCTTCTCCCTACACTGGTCCTACTGGAGGTCTTGCTGAGCGTCGTGAGCCTGCGTCTCGTCCTGCGTCGCCTGTTCGTGCTGCTCGCACTAGTGGTCGTGCTCCGCGTCCGCGTCCTCCTGCGGTCCCAGGCACACACCAGATGGCACTGCGCCCTTCCACTGCTCCTCTGCGTGTCCCGTTGCCGTCACCTCCAGAGTCCTCTCTTCCTGTTCTTGCTGACCCGGAGTCTGACTCTCTTCGTGCTGCCAGTCCTACTGTCACGCGTCTCCTGGCCACTGTTGTCACTGACCCTTCCTTTGAGTCCACTGCTGCGTCTGCCTTAGTTGTTGAGCTTGTCGACTTTGCTGCTCGCTGTCGTCTGGACTACGCCGCTAGTCTCGTTGCTGAGTCTGAGTCTGTCTGTCCTCCGTCCGTCGGGGGTGAGTGTGCTCTTAGCACGGACGTCCTTGAGGACAGGCAGGAGGAGTTCCAGTGTTTTGCTGCTGCTTTGCCTCATCTCGTGTCCACGCTGATTGCCCCTGAGGGAGACCCGGATGCACCAGACATCCCGACTCCTCGATCGTACGCTGAGGCGATCGAGGGTCCCTACTCCTCACAGTGGCAGTCAGCCATGGACGCAGAGATGGCTTCCTGGAAGTCCACAGGCACCTACGTCGACGAGGTTCCCCCACCTGGGGCGAACATCGTCAGTGGCATGTGGATTTTCAGGGTGAAGCGGCCGCCGGGTTCTCCGCCTGTCTTCAAGGCGCGTTACGTGGCTCGAGGCTTCAGTCAGCGGCAGGGAGTTGACTACTTTCAGACCTTCTCTCCCACCCCGAAGATGACCACTCTTCGGGTGCTGCTGCACATAGCCGCTCAGCGCGACTACGAGCTTCACTCTCTTGACTTCAGCACAGCTTTCCTGCAGGGCAGCCTGCACGAGGAGATCTGGCTGCGCCGCCCACCTGGCTTCACTGGGTCGTTTCCTCCTGGTACCCAGTGGAGCCTCCGGCGGCCAGTCTACGGTCTCCGCCAGGCGCCCCGTGAGTGGCACGACACACTGAGGACTACACTTGCGGCTCTTGGGTTTGCTCCTTCTACTGCCGACCCGTCGCTGTTTCTGCACACCGACACATCTTTGCCACCGTTCTACATCCTCGTGTACGTCGACGACTTGGTCTTTGCCACTGCTGACACTGCTGGACTCGCCCACGTGAAGTCCGAGCTGCAGAAGAGACACACGTGCACAGATCTGGGTGAACTGCGCAGCTACCTTGGCTTGCAGATCACCCGGGACAGAGCACAGCGCACCATTACTCTGACTCAGTCACACATGGTGCAGCAGGTCCTTCAGCGCTTCGGCTTCACGTACTCCTCGCCTCAGGCCACTCCTCTGTCTACTCGCCACTCGCTCTCAGCTCTGCCTTCGGATGAGTCCGTAGAGCCGAGTGGCCCGTACCCAGAGCTTGTTGGCTGCCTCATGTACCTGATGACCTGCACACGACCTGACCTAGCATACCCTCTTAGCATCTTGGCACGCTATGTTGCTCCTGGGAGACACCGACTAGAGCACATGGCTGCAGCGAAGAGGGTGTTGCGCTACTTGTGCAGTACGTCGGGCATGGGGCTAGTGCTTGGAGGGCGACGTCGAGTGGTCCTCACAGGTCACGCAGACGCTTCTTGGGCTGACGACCAGTCTACGCAGCGGTCGTCACAGGGTTACACCTTCAGCCTTGGCTCCGGCTCTGTTTCGTGGCGGTCTACCCGCTCGTCTTCTGTTCTCGGCTCCAGCTGTGAGGCTGAGATCTACGCGGGGGCCATGGCTGCACAGGAGCTACGCTGGCTCACCTACCTGCTGACTGACCTAGGAGAGCCGCCTCGTTCTCCTCCAGTTCTGTACGTAGACAACAAGGCCATGCTGGCCTTGTGTCGGGAGCACAGACTGGAGCACAGAACGAAGCACATTGCTCTTCGCTACTTCCTTGCTCGTGAGCTGCAGCAGCGTGGTCAGCTGCGCCTTGCTTACGTGGCCTCTGAGGCCAAAACTGCTGATATCTTTACCAAGGCACTTCCGCCTTGTGATCATCAGCGCTTCTGTAGGATGCTAGGTCTTGTGCCTACTTGGCCTCACTTGCTCACTTCTTGACCTTGCTTGTACTGTGATCTTTCTATACCTGCACTTGCTTGTTTACCTTTATATATGATCTTGCATGTGAACTGGCCTTGTGGCCTTGCTCTTGTGCTCGGACTGTGTGGTGACGTTGTGATCCACCCTGAGCTTGCTTTGGTTTGCTTGACTGGTCTTGTGACCTCTTGTTCTCCCCCACTTTGCCTATGGGGGTGTGTCAAACTCATATGCTATAGTCTGTGTAGGCTGTAGTGGGGTAGACAATATGGGGTACAACATTTTCAGGTTTTCCTACTTGTACCCACCTGCTTGCTAGTTCATTCATTCCTTCCTCATTTCTTCACATCATGCTCTTTCTCCCCCCCACGTAAAAACGACCCCCTTACGTAGTAAATCCGTCAGCGGGGCAGTCAACTGTGCCATGTCGGGGACGAACTGACGAACATAATTAACGAACCCTAAAAAACTCTGCAGTTCCGTGATGTTCGTCGGGGGACGCCACGCTTTTACCGTATTAGCTTCTTTGGGTCTATTTCAACTCCAGCCTCCGAAATAACGTGCCCCAAAAATTCTAGTCTGTCGCGAAAAAACTCGCACTTAGAGCCCTTGGTGAGTAACCGATGTTCCTCTAAAACTTTAAATACTGCTTCGAGATCCGCTAAGTGCTGCTGCTTGTCGCGACTGTAGACGAGTGGCCTAAATGCCTCGTTTATAAGCGCACCCCTTGGAAGCGCATGCGCTTTCAAGGGGTAAACTATCACGCATTTATCTAAGAGTGGCCTAAACGCCTCGTTCATGGTCATCTGAAATGTTGCGGGCGCGTTGGTCAGCCCGAAAGGCATCACCGTGTACTCAAACGACCCGTACCTAGTCCTAAAGGCTGTCTTGGCGCAGTCCGATGGTTCGACCCGAATCTGATGGTAACCCCCCCGTAAGTCTATTTTCGAAAACACCCGTGCTGTTCGCAGTTGGTCGATCAGTTCGTCGGCGCGGGGAATGGGGTACCGCGACTTGACTGTTACCTTGTTGAGCGCTCGGTAATCGATGCACATGCGAAACCCTCCGTCTTTTTTCGGTGTGAACAGTATCGGTGCGGCGAACGGTGACGAACTTGGTCGAATAAACTGCTTCTCTAACAAATAATCTAACTGCTTCCTCAGTTCGTCGAGCTCGGGCTGTGTCAGTCTGAACTGGCGCTGTACAGTTGGCTGTGCCCCCGGTTCTAACTCGATCCTATGATCATGCGCCCGCTGAGGTGGCAGCCCTTCCGGTAAGTCGTCTGGAAAAATCCCCGGGTACCGTTTCAACAGTTCCTGTAGTTCGGGCGGTACTGCTGCCAACAGTTCCTGAAAATCGCTCGGCTGCTCCGCTTCTCCTACTAATGCTATATCTACTGCGTACACGTAAGCTCCAGCGGCGACAACCCGTTTCATCGTGATGGCGTTGACGTGGACCGTTGAAGACTCGGGCGACTGCCAGCGAGGTAGCATGACCCAGTTACCGCTACTTCGCACAGTGCAGCTACCCGTCGTCCAGTCGATTCGTGGGTTGTACCGTCGTAGCCAATCACGTCCCAGTAAAACATCATGCCCATCCAATGTCGTCGCTAGCATTTCCTGTGTAAACCCGAAGTTTCCCCCGCAGCGAACTTTTACTCTCTCCACCTTCTCCCGTATGGCCAGCGGCGTGCCATCAACTAAGCGTGCGTCAATCTCAGGTAAGCAGCGACTAAGTGTCAGTTGTAATTTTCGTGCAGTTGCGGTATTAACTAAACTGTGGCTTGCTCCTCCGTCAATAAAAATCTTCACTGCTGCTCCCTGTGCAGAGCCGCGACCAGCTCCACCGCCGCCGCCGCCGCCGCCGCCTCCGCCGCCTCCGCTCCCACCGCCACCGCCGCCGCCTCCTCCGCCTCCACTGCTGCCACCGACACCTCCACCCCCGCCACCACTCCCACCACCACCCCCACCCCCTCCACTGCCTCCACCGCCACCTCCACCGCCCCCGCCAGCCCCTCCAGCGCCCTTGCCCCCCTTGCCCTTGCCTGTGCGGTCCGAGAAGAGATCGTAGGCTCTGAATACCAAGTGTTACGAGTGCAATTGAGTGAACGAACGAGAATTGTGTCAGAACATTATAGCTCATGGATATTGTGTAGGCTATAGTGGGGTAGTCCATAAGGGGTACAACCCAATTAGGGTTAGTACTTGTACCCAATTCATTCATAGTTCATTCATTCCTTGTTTCTTCTCATGGTATCGAGCAGGTTCCCTAACGGGAACGATTCCTAGGGCCCACCACTACGAGTTTTTTTTTTTTCCTGCCCGGAGCGCGCTTCGCTCCGGCCCGAGTCGCGCCCGGTGTGGTCTCATCACCGTCGCGCCCTCACTAGGCCCCTCACGGCCCCCTAGCGTCGCACCACTTACTGCTCGCACACGCTGCTGCTGTTGAGGCCTTCCGGCTAAGGTTCGGGGTGAGTGAGAGCATTCTTTGATCACCCTTGTATTCCCCATGTATTATCACCCTTGTTTCCATGCATCAACCATGTGGCACCCATGTTTCACGTGTCACCCACGTGTCACCCACGTGTTTCATCCATGTATCCACATGTCCGCCCAGTCCAACAGCGGCATGAGCATAGGGCTGCCAGCGGATGGGGTGTGTAGTTTTTAACTTTTGAGGCGCCTCAAAACTACACCCACGTGTCACCCATGTCCGCCCAGTCCCACAGCGGCATGAGCATAGGGCTGGCGGTGGACGGGGAGTGGGCGGAGCCTCTCACCTCCTCGCCTGCTGATGTGCAAGCAGCAGAGAGACGCATGCAGTTCCAGCTTGCATGGTGCGTGCCCTGAGATGCCTGGGAGTCCTTGACCTTTCTAATCAGGGCGTTTCGAACCTCAAGAGGTTGCGTGGTGGAGTTGTGGTGGTGTGGGAATGGTATAATATGCTGCGGTACGGTAAGGAGGCGTCATCAGTCTATAGTGTGGTGTAGCCTCTGCTCTCAGGTTTTTCAAGGATTAATTTTCTTTTCTCAGTCCCTGTCCTGTCTCCTTTGTCCTCCTTCCTACCTCTTCCTCCCAGCTATTTCCCCCTCATTCGTCTCCACACTTCCTTCTCCCAACCCTGCCACACACACACACTTCCCTCTTACCTCGCGCTCTCCTCACCACCCTTCTCCACGCCAAGGGTGCTAGACCCGCTCTTTTCAGGCGACTATCCAGCAGTGATGAAGCAGAGGGTGGGGGGCCGCTTGCCCTGCTTCACATGGGAGCAGCAGCAGCAGCTCAAGGGGTCGCTGGACTTTGTAGGAGTCAACCACTACACCTCCAAATTCGTCTCTTGTGCTGCTCCTGCTGAACCTGCCACTCCCGCTCCTGCCGCTGCTCCTTCAGCTGCTGCTGATGCTGCTGGCAATACTGTTGTGGATGACCTCGCGGCCACAGCAGCAGGATCTGGCACGGTTGCTGTAGTTCCTCTGCTGCCGCACGAGTCGCCTGCACTTGCTGCAAGCGCGCAGGGCAGGGAGAGTGAGGAGAGCGGGTCTGCTGCTGCAGCGGTATCTGGGGAGGATGAGGGAGACCATTTCAAGGACCAGGGTGTTGAGATATTGGGTGAGCGGGATCCCTTCTTTGTTCCTACTGAAGAGAGCAGCCTTTCGTTCTCATTTTTCCTCCTCATGTGCCTATTTTACATTCCACCTCTTGTGCCTCTCCTCTCCCTCGACTCTCCCTCTGTCCCTCTCCTCTCCCTCTACTCTCCGTTTTCTGTCCCTCTCCTCTCCCCTTCTCCCTCCTCCCACTTCCTGCCCTGTGTGCAGCATCACGAGATGGCATCCCCATTGGAGAGCGGGTAAGGACGCTCTGCCAATTCATCCAAACCCACACCTAATCACACATGCCAATTTGTTGATCACACAATTTCCTTTGTCTGTATTTCACACACACAAGCCCATCGCCTGCAATCCACCTAAGAATGCTACAAGTCAACCTCATTCTTCCGTCTCCGTCTCACCTCCTGCCCATCTCCCTGCCTCCAGGCAGCCTCTGAATGGCTCTACATCGTGCCATGGGGATTCACAAAGCTTCTCAACTGGATCACAGCGCGTTACAACCGCCCTCCCATCCTAATCACTGAGAACGGTGTGTCTTACGTTGTGCCTTTCTCGCCTCGCCTGCCTTTCCCACCTTACCTTCCTTGCCTCTCCTGTGAGAACGGTTGTTGCTTGCTTGCTTTTCTTTCCGCAATTTGCACCCACTCTTGCACTACCACGTGTCCAAGGCAAACCTTACCAAATTGTCCACATTCCGCCCATGTAACACTTCTCCTCTCACCTTGTTTCCGTTGCTCGGCACATCACTCGTCCCTACTTCTCTTTGCTGATCACACACGAGGCCTGTGCAGGCATGGACGATGATGCTGACGCACTGCCACCGTTGGATCGCAATTCACTCTCCCAGCTGCACGTTCGGGGACCTCAGGGGAATGATGGAGCTGAGTCTCCCCAGCAGCCGTATGACTCGCTGCAGCTGCCTGCTGCTCTTGATGACTGGAAGCGCGTCAGCTTCTATAACGACTATCTTGGAGCCGTTGCCGATGCCATGAGGTGTGTGGTGCACTCGATTCGTTTCCGGAGCTCGATATTAGTGTGCCAAGAAGGCAATGCGACACTCTTTAGTGGTTGGTTTGCACTGGCATTTCAAGGACAGGGAGGACGTGCTTCAGCTGGTTACCAGCTCATCTGGTTAGCCGTGGGATGGGAACACCTAATGGTCGTGATTGTCCTTTGATCATCACACGCACACACACACACACACACACACCATATCATCCCTTCCCGCATCCAAACATGCGTACAAAATTCACCTTTCCATCCCTTCAACCCCCCATCGCTCCCGCCCTCCCTCTCGCCACGCATCGCGTCTCCCCCACCAGGGATGGCGCGGTTGTGAGAGGCTACTTCGCGTGGTCGCTGCTGGACAACTTTGAGTGGGCCATGGGATACTCACGCCGCTTTGGCATTCATTATGTGGACTTTGCTCACGGGGGTGCTAGGTTCCCCAAGAGATCGGCCCTCTGGTGGAGGCACGTGCTGTGTGAACCGGAAGAAACCGGTATTTCTGCAGAATAATGCAATGGGTGTTTAGATTACCACAAGTTGTGGCTTGTAGTGATGATGAAATGGTACCGTTTCACTCTGTGTTTGTAACCCCCCTCAGGTAATTTAGTGTGTTCATGTAAACAGATGTAAATGATAAGTTCCCTACATACTGTTGTTGCGTGGATTGGCATCACACCAAGTCACACCTGTCCTGCCTTAGCAAACCCCTAGCAAGCTAACCTGCCCAGCCAATTTCTACGTATATCCCATCACATACCGTCTCCGCCGCAGTTTAGCCTGTAACAGCACCACACACAACGTTTACGTACGGTACTTCCCAACACATCCTAGCCACTACAAGTCATTGCTACTATGGTGTATGCATGTCGGGTCTACCGAGTTGTAATGGATGCCCCAGGCCCAGATAAAATTACACCCATGTCCATCTGCACATTACCATGGCTTGAGAAGGTTCAGCACCAGCTGTGCATGCATATGCACACACCCATGCAAACGCGTGTTCACCCACACAGCGCTATTGCTTGAGATACTTGAGAGCCACCTGGCGGCGCCGCAGCTCGTCATGTGGCACACCCAGGTCATTGGCTAGGGCAAACGCGGATGCGGCTCGGTACCGAGCTTCGTAGACCCGCAGCCGATGCGCATGCGCCTTGGCTGGGGCTGCTGCTGCTGGGACAGGTGCTGCTGGGGGCATTCCTGTACCATCCATACCAGCCATTCCCCCCATGCCTCCCATGCCTCCCATGCCGCCCATGGGTCCCATGCCTCCCATGCCCATATTGCCCATGTTGCCCATGTGCATGTTCATGTTCATGCCCATGCCATCCATCCCACCTGCAGGATAGCCCATGCCAGGAGCCATTCCAGGACCCATGCCCATGCCTGCACCCATGTGCATGCCCATGCCAGGGTGCATGCCCATGCCAGGATGCATGCCCATACCCGGATACATGCCCATGCCCATATCTCCGCCCATCGGCATACCGCCACCCATGCCCATGTGCATGCCTTGAGCCATATACATATCCTGGGTCATCCCCATACCAGGACCCATACCCATCATGCCCATGCCTTGCCCCATACCACCCATGTCCATGCCAGCACCCATGCCCATGCCCCCCATGCCCATGCCACCCATGCCCATCCCCCCCATAGCCATCGCATCTCCCATGCCTGCCCCCATGCCCATGCCAGATGGTCCAGGCTCATGGCCTAGGGCAGCAAGGGGCATGGCCCCTGCACCACCACCCGCAGCAGCAGCAGCAGCAGCAGCAGCAGCGTCTGAGCCCGAATCAGGAGCAGGGAGCAAGGCCTGCTGTTGCGCGTTCGCAGCAGCAGTGGCGGCGGCAGAAGCAGCGGCAGCAGCGGTGGCAGCAGCAGCAGCAGCGGCAGAGGCAGTGGCAGCGGCAGCAGCGGCAGTGGCAGCGGCAGCCTGGCGGTGCTGGGCGAGAATGACTGCTAGCAGGAACTGCAGTCGTGCCTCCATGCGCTTGCTGTCTACTGTCGCCTCTGCCTCGGACAGTGGCTGGAAGAGATGGAAGGAAAGGGCACGCAGCAGAATGGGGAGGAAGGGATTCCAACGCATGGAGGAAAGGGGTTTGAGATGGGGGTTGAAAAGGCGAAGGGAAGGGCGTTACGAGGGCAGTGATGTGGATGAAGTTTGAAGACGCTGGGAAGGAGGATAAGAGGAAAGGCGAGGGAAGAGGGATGTTGGGAGGTAATGGAGCAGCAGTGAAGGCGGGCTGCAAGGAATGAAGAGATGCGATGTGATGCTTGCACATCGTATGGGCACGTAATTTAACAATCGCAGGGCAGGCAGAGCAGATGCTTTGTATATGTCCATTCTTGCATTTCAAATTCCACCATACCCCAAACCCTGCCACACCCGCAGTACCCCAAACCCTCCACCAATCCCCCAACCCCACCACCAATCCCCCAACCCCACCATACCTCCGACCGCAGCGTAGGGAAACTGGTGAGCAGGCTGGGCGGAAACATGCTGCCGAGCGGCACATAGTCCACATTAAGAGCCAGCGCTATTCCCACGACACGCAGCAGCAGCATGTACGCATGCACTCGGTCACTCGCAGGGGCGGACTGCCGGAAATCGGAGATGGCTTCTCGGCACGTGGCGTCGCGCGCTGCTATGAACGCGTCGGTTTCCCGGCTGCCCCGGTCGGTGTTCTCCCCGAGCTCTGAGAGCAGCGAGCAGTCGAAGAGCAGGACTAGCAGCTGCTCGTATGCTCCCACGGCTCCTGCTGCTTCTGACACTGATGCCCCGCCGAGGCCTGTGGGGTGGGGGGAGGGGGAAGAGTTTTGAGACGTCTCAAGGAGCGAGCAGTCGAAGAGGAGAACTAGCAGCTGCTCGTATGCGCCCACGGCTCCTGCTGCTTCTGACACTGATGCCCCGCCGAGGCCTGTGGGGGGAGGGGGGAAGGGAGAAAAAGGGTCATTGGTGGGAAGAGAGAACGGAGGGAAGGTAGGGAAGGGCGTATGGAGCGAGGGAGGGAAAAGGCTGGAAAAAATCCGCCGGATTTCCAAGCAGCATAGGATTTCCCCATGCGCATATGCCCATTCCCCCATAACACATTCCTGCATGCCCATTCCCCCAATGCCCCCAAGCCCACGTGCCCATGCCCACACGCCCATGCCCTTGCCCCCAAACCCATGCCCCCATGCCCACGTGCCCCCCCTCAACTACCACATCCCAGCCCCATCTGCACGCGGTAACATCCACCCCTCACCAGTAGCCTTGGCGCTCTCCTCATCAGTGGGTGCCCGCCTGAGCTTCTGCAGCAGCGACACAGCAGCAGCAGCGCGCGGGCCGATCATAGGCCCCCACATGCTACACACCACGCCGCCCTTTAACGCCACGGTCGACAGCGTGGACGCGTGCTCATACGTGAAATACAGAAGGTCGTTCATATCCACCTCGAACCCTCTCACCGGGTGCGAAACCACCAGACTCAGCGGAATCCCGCCGGGGCCAGTGGTTGGGAGCGGTGCGGTGCGGTCGAGAGGGACCATCTGGGTCCACTGGCGGCAAAGTTCCAGGGACCGATGAGCGGCGAGAATATCCAAGTTGCAGGTCACAGAGAAGCGCACAAGTAACTCTTTCAGCAGCTCCACAGCCTCGGCTACAGCCTGTGCTTCAGTCGATTCTTCTGCTGCTCTCGCTGCCTCCTGCGCCTTCAACATCTCCTGTTCCATCTCTCGGGCCATCGCCATTTGCTGCTCTATCACTCTCTCCCGCTCCCTCTCCCACTCGCGCTCCCTCTCCCTCTCCCTCTCTCGCTCCAGCTCCATTTCTCGCTCCCGCACACGCTCCCTCTCAGCCTCCATCTCAGCAATCTCATACCACCGCTCCTGCTCCTCATAGGTCTCAAAGCCTCCTTGGGGACGCCCGTCATACCTATCCTCGGGTCCGTAATGCCCCCCCATGTGCCCCATGCCCTCATGCCCCATGCCTGCACCCCCCATCCCCATGCCTGCTGGCCCCATCCCTTCGGGACCCATCCCAGGAGGACCCATACCCATACCCATGCCCATATCCATACCAATGCCTCCCATGCCTCCCATGCCCCCCATGCCTCCCATGCCTCCCATGCCCCCCATGCCTCCCATGCCCATCCCCACAGCCATGTTCCTCCGCCTCTCCTCGTCTATCATCATAGGAGGGGGGGGCAGAGGGGGCGGCAAAGGAGGGTCCAGTCCCCCTGGTGGCACCTCCACACCTGCCCTCCTCACTGCATCTAACTCAATCGTTTCCATTTCCCTCTCCCTCTCCATCTCCCTCTCCCTCTCCCTCTCCATCTCTCTCTCCCGTTCCCTTTCCCTCACTCGCTCCCTCTCCCGATCCCTCTCCAGTTCCCTCTCCCGTTCCCTCTCCCGCTCCCTCTCTTGCTCCCTCTCGCCCCTCTCCCCAGCCTCCTGCCGCTCTGACCGTTCCGACCTGCTGTCATTGCTGGGCGTGGAGGGCATGTCCCCCACGCTGTCCCCCTCCCGGCTCTCTGGAAGATCTCCAACTGTTGACGGCGAAAACGCAGCACTGCTGCTGTTGCTGGGCTGTATACCACTAGCACCACCACCAGCAGCACCAGCACCAGCAGCACCACCACCAGCAGCAGCACCAGCAGCAGCAGCAGCAGCGGCACCACCACCACTGGAAGAATGCTGCGAATCCCTGTGAAGGAGCTTTCTAGCGCGGAGCATACTGCTCCCCTTGAACTCACCAGCGTCTTTCCCTCGCAGTCCTGACGGCCTGGCTAGCAGGTTCACTCCTCCTTCCCTCTCCGCCCCTCGCTCCCCTTCCAACCACCTCCCCTCCCCACTTGCTCCTCTCTCGCCCTCTCTCCCCTCTCGCTCGCTGCCTCGCTCGCTGCTCTTCTCGCTGTCCCTGTCCCCACCCCCTGAGCTCCGGACTGAGCCTCGTCCAATGGAGGTTCTTCCTTCTTGGTTAGCCCGCCACTCGCCCTCACTACCAAACGACAGGCTCCTGTGCTGCTCGCTTCCATGCTGCTCGCTTCCCTGCTGTTCACTCCCCTGCACTGAGCCCTGCACTGAGCCTGCTTCTCCCTCCACCCAATCACCATCACCAACTGCCTTGTCAGCACTGCTCTTGCTCCCCTGTTCCTCACTCTCCTGCTCCTCTCCCATCGGTTCCTTACCCCCCTTCTCCTCATCCCCCTTCTCCTTAGCCCCCTGTACCCCAACCTCCTCCAATGCTCCCTCCTCCCCTCTGCTGCTCCCCACACCCTCCACCCTTTTTCCTGATCCATCCCCTTCTTCTACCTTACCCCCCTCCTTTGCACCTCCATCCACTCCCGCACTCCCATTCTCCTCACCTTCCTTCTTCTCTCCTTCACTCTTCTCTCCCTCAACCTCAGGAGGAGGAGCCTCAGCACTCTCAACCACACCACTTTCCACACTCTCTCCAGTTCCTGCACCTGCCTTTCCACCCTCCACGTTCCCTCCTCCTCCCCCTCCCACCTCTGAATCCCTTTGCACCTCCTCCAATCTGCCCAACCCCGAACCCTCTCCCGCACCCTCATCACCCTCCCTTCCCTCCTCGCCTCCCTCTCCTCCCTCTTCATCCTCCTCCTCCTCTTCCCCAAACAGCGTCCCAACGTCCCACTCCATTTTTGCTCCTCTCTTCGCCCTCTCCTTGGCCCGAGCACGGGCCTTGGCACGTTCACCCATACCCCCGCGCTTCACCTCTCCTTTAAACCGCTCCATCTGCAATTGCTGCTGCAGCTGCTGCCGCTTCTCCAGACTCTGTTCCCGCTTCTCCCTCTGCTCCTGCTCCTGCCGCTCCGGCTGCTGCTGCAACTGATCTCTCTCCCCCGGGCGATTCTGCGCCTGCTGCTGCTCCTCCTGCTGCAACTGCGACTGGATCTTCTGCTGCTGCAGGCTCTGCTGCTGCTGCTGCTGCTGCTGCTTCGGTGCTGCAGGAGCCCGCTTCTTCTCTCCCATTCTCTCCGCCTCCAACTGCTTGGCTTCCTCCAACAATCGCATCCCTACCTCTCGCATCGAAGCCGGCTCTTTCACAGAATGCAGGAGCGCCATATGCAGATGCCTCACCACCCCAGACGCAGGCGAGATCAGCAGCTGCAGCTTCGCAACCCACAGCGGCACGGGGAACGACGACACTTCTGCCGCCGACGGCACACGGGAGCGTGTGACAATAATCCCATGCGCAGCGGAGAGCTTGGTGATATGCAGCATGGCGCGACCCAGCATCCACGCGTCGTCCACCTGCTTCGCCAGCTGCAGCCACTGCTCCAGCCCCCGCTGCTCCACAAACGAATCCTCCTGCAGCCGCTTCATACGCCGCGCCACCGTCGCACCCTCCGCCCGCGCCTGCGCTAGATCCACATCCCCTCCTAACTGCATCCCCATGCCCCTGTCCCCAGGCCCTCCCATGCCGTGGGTCCAGCGCCGTGCGAGTCGTCTCGGGCTGCGGGAGGAAGGAGTAGCTCCGCGCACCATTTCTAGCGCTATGTGCTGCAGGTTTTCCTTGGCTACCTGTGCGCAGAGGCGGGCCATAAAGAGTGCTTTCGCCACTGCTCCTGTGACCTGGCACCAGCCGAAGAAGAGCGGGAAGCGGCCGCCGGGAGGCACGTGATCCCGCTGCTGCTGAGCCACCCGCATGGACCGTGCTCCTCGCCCCCCGATCGTCCTCCCCTGCTGCTGCTGCCTCCTCCCAGACGCTCCCACACCAGCAGCACCAGCAGCTGCAGCAGCAGCGGCAGCAGCAGCAGAAGCGGGGCCGGGGGAGTCGAGCATACTGATCTCCTCGTACTCCTCCTCGTCCTCATCCTCTCGTAACCACCCGATACAATGAATCACATCCATGAGCACATCTAGCCCCACCGAGAGCAAATCGTCCACCTTGACCGACCGGAACCACACCAGGAACAGGCACTGCCAGTCTTCCCGGGACAACCCCACCACGTCCAACACCTGGAACAGCTTACGTGTGCCTGCCTCCCCACGGGTCATATTCCGCATGATGAAGTGAGAGAGCGCCCTCAGTTCACTCACGTCCTCGCCTATCGCCAGCCAGAGACCGTGGCTGCGCTCCTCCCCTGCTGCCCCAGCGCCCCCTCTATGAAACCCCTTGCGCCCACCCCGGCTGTTCCCTGTGCCGCCGTACCCTCCCCCTCCCCCTCCACCACCACCACCACCATCCATCCCACTGTACCCGCTGTCATACCCCCTGACTGAGCCCCCAACGCTGCCACTGCCCCCAATGCTAGCTCCAGCCTTGATCCTCTGCCTCTCCTTCCTCCTATCCTCTGGAAGCTCCCTGGGCGTCCACCGGGAGTCATAGCCAAAGCAGCGGAGGAACTCGCTGCAAGAGAGAGTGGGTGGTGTGGCTTCCTCTATCGGCCAAGGGATGGTGAGATCCGTGAACCCATCCCCAATGATAGTAGACGGAGGCGGGGTGCCAGGCGTTGCTAGTGCTTCTGCCGCTTCCTCTGTGGTCCCCTGAGCGGCTGCTGCTGCGGTGGCAGCTGCAGCAGCAGCAGCAGCGGCGTCTGCAGCAGCGGCAGCGGCGGCGGCGGCAGCAGCGGGAGGAGCAGGGACGCGGGCACGCACCTCCTGTGTTTCCATCCAGAGGAGATTGCACTCAGATTCAGACTCGCACACGTTGATCCACGCGCCTAGATCCGCAACCAGAGACTGGTACCGTGCTTTACGCTCTGCTGTTTCATCCACCAGCGCGGCCTCCTCTGCTTCTGACAGAACACGCCGCTTCCCCCCGCCTTGAATTCCAGGCCTCCTCAACCACCTCCTCTCCCAGTTCACAGATGTGAACAGCTCCGCTTCCTCCTCATCCTCTTCCATATCCGCCCCTGCCCCCGGCCCCCGCCCCATCCCAGGCCCCATACCAGGGCCGCCCATTCGCATTCCCATACTGCCCTCCCTGTACCACCTCCCGTTTGCGTCCTCCTCCATTCCTCCCATTCCCCTCTGCCTGGCGTCCTCTGCTCTCTCCTCGTCCAAGTGTTCCTCATGGTCGTCCCTTAGCTTCAAAAAGACCTTCAGCAGCAGGCGCTGCCAGCGCAGCAGCCCCCTCCTCTCCTGCAGATACTGCAACAGTTTATCATCTACTCGTCTCGCCCAGCTTTTCCCACGCGTCAGCTGCTTGCCTCCCACGCTTCCACTTCCCCCCACTCCCCCCACGCTCCCACTCATCTCCCTCCCAGCGCTCCCACCTCGATACCACTCCCTCCCGTGCCCGCCCATGCCATCCCCCCCCATGCCACCATGCATCCCTCCTGCCATCTCCCACCCGCCGCCTCCCATCCCCGCTCCCGCCCACGCCCCTCGCCCGTTATACCCAGCTGCGCCCATCGCCGCATGTCCAGGGGGGAGGAACGAAGACGGGTCGTAGTGACCCGACGAAGGGTCGTAGTGTCCGGAGGACGGGTGGAGGGATGACGTGTTGAGTGCGGGGGGGCGAGGGGGGCCCATGCCGGGAGCGCCACCGCGTGCAGCGCCGAGGTTGTAGTCTATTGCGTCTTCCACTGAGGTTAGGACGTCTTCTAACACTGCCAGGTGGCAGTGCGCTGAGAGAGAGTCGCGCGTTGCCACTAGCAGGTCCAGCACCTGATGTGGGGGAGGAAAGGGGCCGAGGGGGGGAAGGGGGACGGGAGCGGGAGGGAGGGTGGAGAGGGCGGGAGCAGGAGGGGGATGGGGTGCAGACGGGTCATGGAAGTGAAAGAGAAGGGAGGTTGCTAGGCACGGGGGGGAAGAGTTGGGGAGATAAGCCAGAGAAACAACGGGGAATGACAGAGAAGCGAAGGGTCGGAGAATGGCAGTGGGGCTGTGGAGTGGGAACGGGCAAGGGAGGAAGAGAGGGTGGAGGGGGGAGCAAGGGGCAATCACCTGTAGCTTGCGCACGGGGGATGAGAGCGCGCCTAGCAGCAAAAGCACTAGATCCTCCTCCTCCTGCTGCTGCGCATCCCCATCCCTCCCCCTCCCCGCACCCAGCCCCATCCCCAGCCTCATCCTCAACCCCCCAAAGCCCCCTTCATACCCCCCGTCCCTCTCCCCGCCCATCCCATCCCCATCCCGCCCCGCTCTCCTCCGCATCTGCTCCCGGTACCCCTCGTCATACTCATACACGCCCTGCTCCTCTGCGCCTCGCCGCTCCTCCTCCTCCGCTTTCCATCTGAGCAGCTCGACGGTCTCTTGCGCTGCGGTGCGCGCGTTGCGCTTGAGCTTGAGCAGGTCGCACAGGCGCTGAAACACGTCCGCTTCGGTCAGGGAGTCGTGCGGGCGAGACGCGTCTGAGGCAGAGGCCTTGCTGCTGTGAGGGGGGAAGGAGAGGGGGGAGAGGGGGAAAAGGGCCGGGGGGGGGGAGAGGGGTGGGAGAGAGGGGCGCAGGCAGGGTGGGGAGTATGGGAACGAGGAGTGGAAGGAGTTGGGGGAGTGAGGGAGGGAGGGAGGGAGAAGGGAGAGGGAGACGCGTGCGTTGCGTTTGAGCTTGAGCAGGTCGCACAGGCGCTGAAACACGTCCGCTTCGGTCAGGGAGTCGTGCGGGCGAGACGCGTCTGAGGCAGAGGCCTTGCTGCTGTGAGGGGGGAGGGAGAGCGAAAAGGGGGGGGGGGGGGGGGGGGAAAGAGAGACGCAGAGCGGAGGTTGGGGAGGGGCGGGCAGGGGGGGAAGGGCAGGAGAGAAAGGAGTTGGGGGGAGGGAGGAGGGAAGAGAGAGACGTGGAGAGATGCGAGAGGTGCAGGTCACATGTCACGTGGATGGAGAATGCAGCGAGAAGACTTGAAAGATCGAGGATTAGAGCGCAAGAGAGAGAGAGAGGGGCACGTACGGAGGAGTGAGGGAGATAGTAGGAAGGATCTCCGACAGGTGCCCTGTAGCCCCATCCAGCACAAACGCCCTATGCCTCGCCACCTGTAATCCCTCTACTGCGCCCAGCAACCCCTGCCCGCCCGCTCCCGCCTCCCCCCCTCCTCCCCCTGCTGCTGCACCAGCAGCACCCGCAGCGCCCATGCCGGTGCTCTCTATCAGCAACTGCTGCTGTTGCTGCTGCTGCCGCAGCAGCTGCTGCTGCAGAAGCAGCTGCTGCTTGCGCACGCGCGGGTGCTGCCCTGGGTGCTGCATGATATGCTGCTGCTCTAGCATCTGCAGCTGCTGCTGCTGCCGAATGGGGTCGAGAGGAGCGATGGGAGGCACGGTGGTGTGTGCTGCTCCGATCACAGGGGAGGGCTGGAGGAGACGGCTGTTGGCTGGGCAGCGGATTAGGGCCACTCGCCCGCCCCCCACCATTTGCCAGACCTGCAGGACGGGGGAGAGGAGAGGGAGAGAGGGGCATGGACACAGGGTGAGAGAGAAAGGGGAGTAAGCAGGGGAATTGCAGGAAAGAGACATGTCAAGAGGTTTTCCAGGAGACAATAGCCGGAGCCGATAGGGCAGGTAGGAGGCGTGCAAAGGTAGAGCGCAGGGAGGAGGGAATGAAAGGGAATGAAAGGAGGAGATGGGAGAAGAGAGGAGAAGAGCTAGGGGGGAAAAGTCCGGGGAATGGGAGGGTAGAGTAGGGAAGAGAGGACGGTAGGTAGGGGGGAGTTGAGAGGATACCTCAATGACCTCGCGCCGGGGCGCGAAGATGGCGAGGCACATGGCGAGCTGGCGAGGGCGCAGCATGAGCAGATGCACGTTGGGCGATGCTGCTGCCATGGACGTCATTGTGCCCCCCATTATGGGCACCTCCAGGAATGCCAGCTCCGCGTCCCGATAGCCCTGTGAGGAGGAGGAGGAGGAGGAGGAGGAGGAGGAGGAGGAGGAGGAGGAGGAGGAGGAGGAGGAGGAGGAGGAGGAGGAGGAGGAGGAGGAGGAGGAGGAGGAGGAGGAGGAGGAGAGAGGGAGTACGAGAGAGATACATCCATGGATGGCCACATGCATGGAATGGGAGCATGTATGTGCAGCGTACATACACGAAAAAAGGCATGAAGCGCCCGCCTCAGAACCAAGCCCAGCCACCTATAGCCCCTACAACAAACCCCCCCATTCCTCCTCCCTTCCCTCCCACCACCCCCTCCTCCCTCCCCTGTCCCCCCAATCCCCCCACCTCGCCCCACCCGTCCACGCACCTTCCACATGCGCACCACCCCAAAGATCTGAGTATCCAGCAGCAGCACGCGCCCCAGGTTATCAGCCAGAGCCATGAGAGTGCCCCTCGGCGCCACTGCCAGCCTCTGCGCGTGCCGCACCGAGTCCTTAAAGCCCGCCACCACCGCCATCGCCTGCCCCGGCTCCACCGCTTCGGGCGGCGCCGGGCGGGAGAAGTGCGGCAGGTCGTCGTCCACGTGGGAAGAGGACAAGGAGGAGGAGGGCGAGAAGGTGGAGAGGGAGGAGGAGCGGGAGGTGGGGGAGGCAGACCCTGGGGAAAAGGCCGAGGAAGGACCGGAGGAGTCAGTAGGGTCGGAGGAGGAATTGGAGGGGTCTTGAGAGGTTGAGAGGGTTTTGGAGAGGATGCGGCGGGGTGCGCGGCTGATGGTGCGTGTGATGGAAAGGGCAGCTGATTTGGCTCGAGTGCGCACATTGGTGGCAAAGGAAGAGGCGAGTTGCACCCATCCGCCTTGCTCCGTGGCACTGGGCGGAAGGGTGGGAACAGAAGCGCACAAACGCATGTGTGCGGGGGAGAAAGGTGAATGCGAGGGGGTAAGAAGAACTTGCATGAGGGGGAGAGGATGCTAGAGGGCACAGCGTGCAAGGAAAAGGATGGGGCGGGTTGCAGGGCACGGGATGGAAGGGAGGGGAATGGAAAGGCAAAAGGAGTGAGTGAGAGGAAGACTCACGCGAAAGCAGCAATAGTGGGGTGCACGCCCACTGTGACAATGCAGAGAGACTGCTTCGGGGCCTGCATGGGCGGAACGAGAGCGAAGAGGGAGGGGCACCATTGGAGATGGGGAGCTGGAGAAGGAAAGGCAGGCGAGTGACGCTGATGGAATGGAAGCAGATACAGGCTGCGACTATCCCTTGGGGATCGACAGGGGTCAAGCGGGGGGGAGGGCGGGTGGGGGGGTGGGGAGGGAATGGGAAGTGGGGAAGGAGGGGGGAAGGGGGAGGGGGAGAAACGGGGGTTCTGGGATGAAAGGAGCGCACGCACGCACGCACGCACCTGGGTTTGGAAGAGCGGGGCGGGGAAGAGCCCAGCCACAGCACCGTCGCTCCACTGAGTACCAGCCCTGCCGGTGCGCCACTTCTTGAGCGGCACTGCAAACGCCTTGAGCGCCTCCTCGTCCCGCGTGGGCGGGGGCCGGCGCGCGTGTGACATGTAGGCGAGGCGCGAGGCGAGGCCGCGGGGGTTGTGCAGTGTGAGTGTGTCGTCTACCTGTAGCACTCGCTGCCGCAGCAATGACTGGTGGCATGGGAAGGAGGGAGGGCGGGAGTGGCAGGGAGGCAGGGAGGCAGGGAGGCAGGGAGCGAGGGAGGGAGGGAGGGAGGGAGGGAGGGAGGGAGGGAGGGAGGGAGGGAGGGAGGGAGGGAGGGAGGGAGGGAGGGAGGGAGGGAGGGAGGGAGGGAGGGAGGGAGGGAGGGAGGGAGGGAGGGAGGGGGAATGAAGGAGGGAGGGAGGGAGGGAGGGAGGGAGGGAGGGAGGGAGGGAGGGAGGGAGGGAGGGAGGGATGGGGGAGGAAGGAGGGAGGGAGGGAGGGAGGGAGGGAGGGAGGGAGGGAGGGAGGGAGGGAGGGAGGGAGGGAGGGAGGGAGGGAGGGAGGGAGGGAGGGAGGGGGAAGGAAGGAGGGAGAGGAGAGAGAGGTGTGGCAGGGGGAGGGATGAAGCTAGGATATTTCTGAGTGAACTGTGATGGTGTGGGTGGGGTCTGAAGGGAAGGGGAGGGGATTGGGGGTGGAGGTAGGGGGGTGCGTAACGGAGTGGACAATTGGTCAGAAGTTACATATGGAAAGGGAGAGCGTACAGCAATTGGGTGGCAATAGAAAAAACGGGGGCGGAAATGGGGAAGAGAGGGGAAATGGGGGAGAGAGGGGAGGGGAGGGTGGGGAGATGGCGGAGAGAGAGTGGGGAGAGAGGGGACCTGCAGGTGTGTGCATGCGATGATGAGGGTGGCGTTGCGGGTGACGATACAGAGCTCCTGTGTGCCGTCGTTGCGCACCATGCCCGCCTCCACTGCACGCACTCGCACCCGCACCACTGGCTCCGTGTGTACCATCTGCTCGCAGGGACGGCAGGACGAATGAGAGGCGACGTGGGGGAGGAGGGGGACGGGGGGAGGGAGGGGAAGGGAGAAGGCGGAGAAGGGGGGGGGGGGGGGGGGGGGGGGTGGGGGGGGAGAGGATGTTGGTGTGGTGGGGGAGGAAAAGGGGGATAGGCGAGCAGAATTGCAGGGATGAAAGGAAGGAAAGGGAACGGAATAGCGTCTGCACCCATACTCCTGCACCCATTCCCTGCTGCTCCTCCTCCTCGTCTCCCTTCCTCTTCCCCGCATCCCTCCCGCACCCCCAACTCCCCTCAACCACACTTCCGCCTACCCCCTCCGTCCCACTCCATCCCACTCCATCCCACTCCATCCCACTCCGTCCCACTCCACCACGGCGCACCTGCTTCAGAAGCAGAGCTCCTGAGTCGGCATAGACGAGCAGGAACCCCGCGGCAGTGCCCACAGCGACACAGTAGAAGCACCCGGGGGGGCGGCCGGGGGGGGTGGGCACGGGGCGCGGGCCAAAGGAGGAGAAGACGAGCCACTCGAGAGACGTTATGGCATCGTCGGGCTCACACGCAGGTACCACCACCACTGGGTCGGGGTGACAGCCGGGCCGCGGGCTGCGGAGGGAAGGATGGGTGAAGGGCGGTGGGAAGTGGGAGAGGGTGAGGGCGAAAAGAGATTGTTTGGAAAGCCTAAGAGACGAGCCAGTTGAGAAAATCCTGGTGTTGTCAGAACCCACGGGATCCCAAACTTGCAGACCCATAGGCTCACAACCTGACAGGCTCACAGGCTCACTCACAGGCTCACAAGACTACAGTACAGCAGTAGGGCAGGATGGCAGGAACACCACCACCCGTGCGTGCATCCACCCACCATCCCCGCTCCACAATCCCCTCCTTCTCACCACCAACCATCACACATGCCCTTCCCAATCCCATCACATCTGCCCTTCGATCCTCTTCCCTAAGCCCCCACTGACCGTCCGTCCGGCAGCGGCAAGCCGTCGAATATGATGAGAGTGGCGCCTCTACCCAGTGCCATCATCTCCGCATTTTCCGTCACTGCTACTTGCATCTCCTCGTCCTCCAACCAGCTACTCAGCGCTATCCGCTCCCCCAGCGCCCGCTCCGCTCCCCCGCCGTACCCACTGCTGTACCCGCCGAACCCGCCGCCGCTGCCGCTCCCCCCGGCTGCGCCACCCGCGGAACTGCCCGCGCGGGCGTTCCCCGCGCCCAGCTGCTGCCGCGCGCCGCCGGGGACCCATGCGTCCCCGAGCTGGTTGGAAACCCCCGCCGCTGCGCCCGCTACTGCGCCAGCCGCGGCGGAAGCGGCGGCGGCGAAGCCTGGAATGGCCCAGAGCGATGACAAGGCGGGGTGGGGGGCGCGCTCGGCGGAAGGCTCGGGCGTGCGCGGAGGCATGGAGGGGGAGGGCGGGGGGGGCTGCGACTGGAACTGAACCTCGAGCTTGCCGACGTCGAGGTGCGCCCATGGGCGCAACACATCGGCGGAAGCTGGAATGTCGCGCGCGGGGGGAGGGGAGAGGTGGGGGGGTGGAGAAGAGGGATTGAAGGGGAGCGGGCGGATGAGGATGTTGGGCAGAAAGGGGAATGGAGACGGGGGGAGGGGAAGGGGGAAGGAGGAACCGGGATGAGAGGAGAAAGCGAAATGATCAGAAATTGCTATAGGAATGTGGAGAGTTGAACAAGGAGTGCCATGCGGTGAAGGGGCGTAATCTATGATTGTATCATGCAGTGAAATTGGGCCGACAAGTGTGAGGATTGAGTGATGGGAAAGAAATTGCTGCCAATGCAAGAGTATCGCTGACGGGGCGCTGGTGGTAACTCACTCAGCGCTTAGAATGGACGGAACACGTGCTAAGAACTACAGGAAGAGTGAAAATTCGAGGAAATTGAATGACCACATGACAGGCATGCTCCAGGCTCCTTGGGCTCTGCCGCGCTGTGCGGCATATTCAGGTGCTTGGCGGCGCTTTCGGGTGCTGTGCGGTGCTTAGTGCTTTCAGGCGCCTGGTGTGTTAGGACGATAGGAGCTTCCAAGGCTTCGTGGTGAGTGTGAGTCAGGACGGCGAGGGATTGTGAACACATAAAAAACGACCAGCCCCGCAATCACCCCGCAGAGAATCTCTTAATCGCCTCAAAAGCCAATAAGAGCGCTAAGGCTTTGGAGGGTGATAAAAAAAGCGAACGTGACTACGAAGAGAGACAGCCAGCATCGGAATTACCGTGCGCAGGAGTACGGTACGGTACCCAATGGCCAGGAACAAGGGGCGAACCCTATATGGCCAGGACAAGGGAGAAATTAAATTGCGTACGCACCTCGACCCATAGCGGAAGTCGAAACACTTTATATCTTGTGTTGCGACCAGGACGGTGCGCAAAATGTAACACGTTCTCGCGTTGACAGATCTCCCGAGTAAGATTCTGTCAAGCGACCCGCCACTCCGCTGACGCTAATGGTCAGCCAACATCAAGAGCTGCGAGGGAACCCTAGAGTCTGCCGTCCTCAGCCATCACCGCCATTTCATTCTTCACACACTAAGCCTAAATGTCAAGTCGTAAGATGACAAGTCGAGAAACGTCGATCGCAGCTACACACGCAATACATGACTTTTCCGTGGTTGGTGAGAGACCGACGGTCACGATGCACTTATTCAACATTCTACGATTCCTGCCTGGATAAGTATTCGCGATGGAGCACTGTGTAAAGGAGATTGTGTGTGCGCTTCTCTGATGAGTGATTTCTGTCTAGCAAGGCAATGTGACCGACCATCACTGACCAGTCACCAGAGACACTCTCCCCAGGCTTCCCAATCCCAATCCAACTAAAGGTCTCCAAAGTTCCACCATACGAACCTACCCCGCTGCGTCCTGCAGCACCGTACCGCACTGCAGAAAACCTCCTTTTTTCTTCCTCGAGTTCCCCTTCCCCCTCGCATTCTGCCAGGCTGCTGCTGCTCCTGCAACCAACTTGCCTAGCCGGCACTGCTCCCGCTGCCCTACTTCCGCTGCCCGCAGCTGTGCGCAAGTCTCCCCTTCCAACCTCTACTTCTGTCCGCCAGCAGGTGAGGCAGCAGCCTTTTCCCTCCCTGTGCGGACACGTTTGCGGAAGCTCGTGGCGTCGAAGTGCCGCACAACAGAAAAACTGTAACATCAGATTGAAATAGTTTACCTATAGCTTGTTTATACTGCTACCAACGTTTGCAAATAATTTGGTAATTCATTGATATGTACTCTCTGAGAACACTCAGTTATTTATACATGCACAAGGCCAGTCTTCATTGAATGTCTAGAGATTTTCATCTTATAAGGATAATAACCAGCTTTACATCCAAGCCTTTATTCTCAAAACGGTAAAAACCTTTAGTCGGCTGCTAATAATCTATGTATGACTTCAGGCGCTTGCTCACAAATTTGTTATATGTAGGTGGCACTGCTGTTAGTTCTGTTTGTTACATGGCTTCAGAGCAGTTGGTTTGTCGTGTAGAGGGTTCTGTGGCTCAGGGCTCGCCTCGCTGGTTTTGTGGCGTGCGACAAATGATTGAAACCGAAGGCTCCGTCTGGGTAACAAGCTTTGATCGGCCAATGACATACAAGGGAGATAGGATAGCGGACCTTCTCGCGCAGTCCCGGGACGCCACGTAAGCATCGTAGAATTGAACGCGAAATCCTCGGTGCTGGTCGCAGCTGGTGTTGCCGAATTCGTCGCTCCACCTCTCTGCTTCCAGCTTCATATCCTCTCTGTTCCACCTGCCATCTGCTAGAGGTTTTGTCAAAGCTCTTTCGCCAACTCCCTTAGCGTTCGAAGCTTGTCACTTCAGACCAACATCACAACCATGGCTGCCGTGGCATCTTCGTCCGCTGTCCTCAGGAGCTCGTTCCTTGGCCAGAATGTGGTCGCTCCCCGCGTGGAGTCCGCCTCCCGCACGGTGATGACCCTCGGCAAGAAGAAGGCCGCTGCTGCCAAGAAGGCTGCGCCTGCTTCCGCCATTGATGCCGAGCTGGCCAAGTGGTATGGTGAGTATCAGCAGCGGCCATCCGACTACTTTAAGAATATCTGGGTTTAGCCTTCCTGGAATTTCCTAAATAATAAATAACAATAACAACCATGTCGGTATTGCAGGCCCCGACCGCAGGACTTACCTCCCCGAGGGTCTCCTCGACAAGTCTGAGATCCCGTCCTACCTCACTGGCGAGGTTCCCGGCGAGTAAGCACCAGCCCTTTACCCTACTAGCACTTCTAATTACAGGTTCTTCGTTGCTTTCGCCTCCGTAATCTCCGCGTGCTAATGGTCTTTTTACCTTCTCGTGCTATTCAGCTATGGCTACGATCCCCTGGGTCTGAGCAAGAAGCCCGCTGACTTCGAGAAGTACCGCGCCAACGAGGTGATCCACGGTCGCTGGGCCATGCTCGGCGCCGCCGGCTTCATCCTGCCCGAGGCGTTCAACAAGTACGTGCCCGGCGTGTGCGGTCCCGAGGCCGTGTGGTTCAAGACCGGTGCTCTCCTGCTCGAGGGTGACAGCATCCAGTACCTGGGTGCCACCATCCCCGTCAACCTGGTTGCCGCCACCATCGCCGAGGTCCTGCTCGTCGGCGGTGCTGAATACTTCCGCGGCAAGAACGCCTCTCCCCTCGGCACCGTGAGTACATGACCAGAATAACCCATCGTCGCTTCGTCTCTGCTGTGTTTTCACCTGGTACTAAATGTTCGTCTGTCTTCTCTGTTTTACGTTTTTCAGGACCTCGACACCCTGTACCCCGGCGGTTCCTTCGACCCCCTTGGCCTCGCCTCGGACCCCGACACCCTGGCCGTGCTCAAGGTGAAGGAGCTGAAGAACGGCCGTCTCGCTATGTTCTCGATGCTCGGATTCTTCATCCAGGCTAAGGTCACTGGTGAGGGCCCAGTGGAGAACCTGACCACCCACTTGAGCGACCCCTTCGGCAACAACCTTCTGACCTCGCTCGGCAGTGCTGCTGACCGCGTGCCCACCTTGTAAAGTGGGTCTTGGGAACTTGATATATGCATTATAATGAATATAAAATGATTTTCCCTCCAAATGACTTCGTAAATAAAAAGAAACCCTTGTTGGTGTGCGTGGGCCTAATCAGACACATGGGGAAGGACACATACAAAGTGATTATCAGATTCAGGCTGCTGTCATACACAAACATCATTTTCCTGAATTGGACCCATAATTTTGCATCTACTTGTCTCCATATGAAATAGGTGATCTAATTGTGCGACAGGCTATGTAGCACAAATGTGCGATATCTATGAACTTACCAGTGAATTGTTTGCTGCGCATCAACCCCAAGGGGGAGAAAGATGAGAACCTATACAGACTCCACTTCAAAACTCAAAACAGGTTTCCACTATTAAACAGCTCCTACACAGCTCCATACATGATAATGATGATGATCATGATGATGTTCCTTGTAAGAACATGCAGGACATGCGATGCTACGTGTGCAACCGCTCAGCAGTGCGCAGAATAATCTCAATGTCGATGCGAGGGTATCGCTGCAGTAGCTTGAGATTGTTGGTGAAGTCCCCTGCAAGCAGCCTCTCCCTCACACACATGAGCATAGCACAGCATACCCGCAGCAGCATGTCCTGGAGGGAAGCAACACCCAAGGCACAACATACAAAACAGAACAATTACAGGGAAAACACATGAGAAACTGCAATCAGTTAGAAACAGCTGGAGCACAAGGCAGATGCCGTAGATGGACAACAGCAGTGAAATGCATGAACAATTTGGTTACATGCATAGGCAGTAAGGTACAATGCACCGTCACTACCGTGACATGCACAATGTACACATAGTACAATGGTGACATGTGCATATACCATGCTGCTGACATGCACACATACCATGGGGCCTTCAGGGCAGGCAAGAAGCGCATCCCAGATGCGAAGGATCTGAGGGAACCCAAACTCCTGCGTGAGCAGCAGCGTGATCCAGCGAAAGGCGTAGAACTGCGGATTCACCTGGCAGCAGGTGCAGGGTGGGGAGGAGGACACGGAAGAGGGGGACGAGATGGGGGAGAATAATTGCCGCTGACTGGGCTGGCCGGCCGGCACAGGCACAGGCACAGGCACAGGCAGAACAGTCGGCTGAGCGATCGGCACACACCTTGGACACATACTCGAGGTTCCTCCACAGCTCCTCGTCATGCCGCCTGAGGATCTCCGCAAGCCGCGAGATGGCAGACCGGATCCCCACGACGCTGTTGTCGAGCTGCTGGCAGAAGAAGTCGCGGAAGTCACTAAGCAGGTCCACGAAGCAGAAGAATGCGTCTGCCTCCGCGTGCACGGCGTGCGCCTTGTCGGGGTCGTTGGCAAACACGTACACGATGGGCGCGAGGACCTCGTTCATGCCCTGCACGTACCGAATGCCCGGGTTCAGCTTCGCGAATATCAGCAGCAGCCGCCGCATGGCTTCCTGTGTGGGTTGGGGGGTGAGGAGATGGGAGGGTTGTGTGGGGAGAGTGAGGGGGTGTGGGGAGTTGGGACAGGAGAGAGGGGAGACGGGAGAGGGCATGCGGGAGGCGGAGCGCGGGCAGGAGGGATGTGGGGTTTACTATGCTGAAGTTACTTCTGAAAGTTCTTGTGAAAGGCCCCCCTTGCCCTTCCCTTGCCCATCCCCCTGCCTTTCCCCTGCACCCCATGCCCTTGCAACCCCTGCCCTGCTCCTGCCCCCACCACACCACAGCAGCAGCACCTGCGCGGGCGTGAGGCCGGAGCCGTCGTTGCGTGTGAAAAAGAGCATCTCAGGGTGGGTGCGCCGCACGTCCCGGTCTATCTGCTCGAATATCTCCGAGTCCTGATGGGGCGTTGGTGTGTCCGGGTGTGTGCGGGGGAAGCAGGGACAACATGGGAGGGGAGGGAGGCGAGGGATGGGAGGGAGGGAATGCAAGAATGCAGATGAGCATCTCGGGTTGTGTGCGCCGCACGTCCCGGTCTAACCGCTCCTGATGGGGAAGATGGATGGGAGGGATGGGAGGGGCGGCGTGAAAAGATGGATGGGAGGGAAGGGAGGGATGGTAGGGATGCAGAGATGGATGGGAGGAAGTGAAGTATGAGAAGGAGCGAGCATTTCCATATATATGAGTACCTGAAGGATTTGTGAGGTCTCATATGATTTCCATATGTCCGAGCACCTGACAGTAACATTGCCACACAAAAGCCAGCTCCCCATCTGTGCGACTCGCATAATGCGAGCATGCCCGTCTGTGTAAGCAGCAAAGGGTCCCACACCTGGAAGTACTGCCGCCACACGGAGGTAGGCTTGTCATTCAGCGGATGGTCATGCGATGACACGTCACTACCATGCAACTCCAACACCTCCTCCCCTCCCGCTCTACCGCTCCCACCTTCCCCATGCGCCCGCAACTCCCCCCCTGCAACCCCTCCCCCCGCCACTCCCCCCCCAAGGGCCTCTCTCTCGGGCCGCCCTGCTCCCCCCGCTGCCTCCACTTCCGGCAAGCCAAAGTCCTGCTTGTCCCACAGTGCGGGCCCTGTTTTGCCGTGCAACGGTGAGTCTAGGGTGATTTTTCCGCCTGCGTCCCCTTGCTCCCCCTGCTGCTGCTGCGCCTGCTGCTTGCTTGGCGTGCCCTGAGCAGCTGTGAGGTCGACTGTATGCTTGGACTGGAGGTAGGAAGGAAGGAAAGAAGGAAGGAAGGACAGAAAGGGCGGATGTGGCGATGGGGAAATACCACGTGTAGCGAGGTTGTTTTTGAGACGTCTCTCAAAAACAACCTCGCTACACAAGGAAGGACAGAAAGGGCGGATGTGGCGATGGGGAAATGAGTGAGCAAGAGTGCCATGGTGAGGGAGAATGGAGGCACTAGAGGGATGAAGTTCGGAGTGAGGAGCACAACGGGATGGGAGAGGAAAGGAGGGAGATTTCAAAGCAGAATACGAGACCGCAAGAGTATTTGAGAGACGAGCATGCGGGGAGACGGTGAAGTGCGACTGGAAAAGGAGGAGCAGGCAGGGCAGGCGGCCGCTACACCAGATGCCATGGGTAACGCAAGACACAGAGTGGTGCACGGGGGTGCAGATGGGTGCAGGTTGGTGCAGTGCAGGTGGGCGCAAGGGGTCCTACCGGGTTGATAATGAGCTCGGCAGTGAAGCAGTCGTACTGCCTGCGCTTCCTCTCCAGCTCCGCCTCCCAGTCGTCCCGCACCAACGGCAGCAGCCCCAGCAGCAGCTGGCAAGCGGAAGGGGGGAGGGGAAGAGGAGGGAGGGGCGAGGGGGGAACGGGGGGTGGGGGAGAGAGAGGGCCAGAAGTGGCGCGATAAAGGCTTACATCGGTGTGATTCAGCCTTGGTGCAGAGAGCGAGGGGATATCGTGCTGGAGCATGGCAACATTGGTGTAGGCAACTACAAAAAAACTGGTGTATTGATATTCTAGGTTCCTCAAGATTCTAATGTGTAAATTCAAGACAAACTAGCAGGTGGTGAGAAGGAGAGATGGACGCGGATGCTCAGTTGCATGCATACACCAGTTCGGTATGCATGGGGGATATGGATGTATGGATGCAAATGTGCATGGGTATATGGCCACATCGGCGCATTGCTGCATGCACGCGCAGATATCACCACCCACCTTCCATCGCCACCCCACTGCACCGCACCGCACCCAACCCCATCCCACCTTCCACACGACGGGGCGCAGGCTGCCCTCATTGGGAATGCCGTACATGGCCAGGCGCCGCAGCTCTCCCAGGTTGATGCGCGGCTGGGAGATCTGTATGGTACGGTGCAGAGTGGTGTGGTGCGGTGCGATGTGGTGCGGTGCAGTGCGATGTGGCATGGTGTGGTGTGGTGTGCGTGGAGCACAGAGAGTGGGGTAAACAGGTGGAGACTGGGAGGCGAGGTTGAGGAAAAAGAATACTGGAACGACCATCAGGTTGCTGATTATGGGATGGTAACTGGGGCAGGGATGGGGCACGGAGGGGAGTGGGGGAGACAGGGAATTGGGAGAGGGGAGGGGGCAGGGAGGGTAGTGGGGAAGGGGGCAGCAGGATCCATGACGGGTATGAGAGATCAAGCAGAATAGCCTCATACCACCCCACCCGACCCAACTGCACTCCACCAACTCCACCCCACCCGACCCGACCCCTTTCCATCCCATCCCACCCAACCCCACCCCACCCCACCCCACCCCACCCCTCCCCACCCCGCACCTCCATGTAGAACTGTGCCAGGCGGCGTTCATACGCCTGGTCCTCTGCAGACGCAGTGGCGAGCGTGAACGAACCCACTCCCCCTCCCCCTCCTCCCCCTGCCCGCGCATGCAGCACCGGCGCCACCACGATGGGCTCTGCAAAAGCCGCTGCTCTCAGCTGCTCCAGCAGACTCGGCCGCCGGTCCCCTCCCCCACCCGCGCCCCCCCCGCCGCTGACACTGCTGCTGCTGCTGAGGTCGCTTCCAAAGCCTAGGCCTGCTGTGATGCTGCTGGTGAGGGGCAGCAGGGAGGGGGACGTGCGCGGTGCTGATAGCGGGGGGGACGCTCCTGATGATGATGCGGCGGCGGTTGGGCGTGGGGACAGCGGGCCGATGGGGGGAGTGGGGGTGGTGGTGGAAGGGGGGGAGGAGGGGGATGTGACTGCACGTGCCCTCCCAGGGCCTGTGGCGGGAGGGGGGGAGGGTGGGTAGCAGGGAGGGAGGCAGGCAGGCAGGGAGGGAGGGAGGTAGGAAGAAAAGGGAAGGATGGAGGGAAGGACGGAAGGACGGAATGAAGAGTGCAAGGAGAAACGGAATGGATGAAGAGAATAAACGGAGGGAGATAGAAAAGGAATTAAAAACTCCGTGGGGAGGTGAGACTAGTTTTGAGACGTCTCAAAAGTGAGACTATATGGGAGTGACTTTTGAGAATTCTCAAACGTCTCAAAAGTGAGACGAGAGAGCAGAGGTTGGAAGGCGGGCAGGTGGACGAAAACATGAAGCAAGGAACTCGCATTGCATGTAGTGACCTGGAGAAGCACACGCGAGCTCACGTGGAGGGGACTTCACAGAAGGTGCGGCTGCGCTGGCTGTGCTGCTGGTGCCATGAGTGCTCGCCGCCACGCTGCTTCTGCTCCTGCTGCTGTCGCTGTCCGTACGATTCAAACCACTGCTGCCCTCCCCACCGCCACCTGCGCCACCTGCGCCATCTCCCTCTCTCCCCCCTCCTGCTCCGCTTCCCCTCCCGCTCCCCTCCTCCATCTCATGCCATCCCTCTTTCCCTGCTCGCTCCCCCGCACCACTCGTACCATCACCATCACCACCACTACCAACTCCTCCTTTCTCCTTCCCCTCCAACCCCCCGTCTCCGCCTATGCCCTCCGCCTCACTGCTTATCCGCGCCCGCGCCATCGCCGCCCCGACATTCTCCATTCCCCCACTATCCCCCACCCCGCTCCGCACATCTCCCCCTTCCTCTCCGCCATTTCCTGGTAACGCGGAACCCACCCCGCCCCCCTTGCCCGAGGTCCGCGGAGACAGGCGAGCGCCATCCGCGGAGATCTTGGCGGCGGGGCGCGACCAGGCCTTGCTGTTCAGCCAGGACGGTACTTTCTTTCCGCCGACTCCGCCGCCGTCCCCGCCGGCGCCGCTACTGCCGCTGCTGCTGGAGGCACCGCCACTATCCGTGCCTGCGAGTTTCTCGGTGCTTTCTTTGGCCGAGGTGGTGTTATCGGCACCATCCATGCCGACTGTCGCGGCGAGAGTCCAGACTAATAGCTGTTACTCTGAGTTTGACTGAATGCAATCGCGAATCTGCGAGTAACAACGAGGTAAATCCGAACGTGACCACCAGTTAGGCCCGGACGAGAGGCGGTGACGAGGTCAGCGAAGTGCTGCCGCTGCGGGTTCGATGGTCGGGTAGGCAACGAGCGATGGAGATATTATTTCTCTTCTCCTTGTGTGACGGGTCCTGGGCAAAACCTGGAGGGTAACGCCTTGCTGCTCGCCCGGGAAAGCTCACGGATGGATGAAGCCGTACGGACGGCTTACGGACGGATGGATGAAATTCGTGTAAAATGCCGCGAGCGAAGGACAGCGGCGAAGCTTGAGCGCGATAGATGAACCTGACAGGATTATTACTCTACATCCTACTGAAGCTGACGAGTGCAATACTCCACATCTTAGGAAATGATTAGTCAGTGGAGACTTGCCTATTTAGACGGGTTGAATATAGCGAAGCTACCGTTTGTGTGCAAAGTGGAAGAAATTTTCAGCAGTTCTGTTGGACATACCGTATATTGTTCTCGCTTCGGTACGGTAGTCTCCTTGTGCATGTACACCTTGTTTTATAGTAGAATATCATTTAGGATGGCTATAGCATTTGTACTCTAATGCATGATATCAGGAAGGGTATCTGGCACATTGGCTACAGCTTCTGAGCAAAAAAGGCATACTTCAGTGTCACGTCAATCTAGGATATTCCAACTTCACATCGCTAATAAGTCAACTGACTACAAGGACAAGGCAGGCACGCAACTAAGCCTTAATAGGCTCATTGAGGAAGTAATGGCGGCACCACTTAGGCGCTGTCACAGGATTGCACATGGCCTTCCTTCCCATGGGCAACCCTACATAGTAAGGCGTGCCAAACGGGTTAGGCCTCTCAGCAGCAGGGTAATCCGTGTGTACAATCTGTGCCCCCGACGTCAGCGCCACCTGCCTCCTCGTCCCATCATTCGCTCTTGCCTGAACCGTATCCGCATCTGCCCTCGTCCATACAATCACGTTCTCTTTAAGCAACCGCTGCACGTCCTCCTTAGCAGAGCTATAGTCCACCTCCATGCTCACCACAGCAGCGTCTGGCGTTCCTCCTGATGTAGGCCCAGTGAAGAACAGCTTCCCCTGCAGCGATGTTGCCTTCTGCTTGTAGGTATCTATGGCGTTACCCACCAGAACAAACATGAACTTCCCTGATGCAACAGCCACAGACGGCCATCCCTTGGTCTTCACAGCTCCCGCCAGCGTAGGGTAATTCCCCCTCACATTATCCGGTTTCAGAATCTTCCACCTGGGGATCACCGACAGCACCTCTTTCTCCAGATCCGTCAGCAAGGCTGGGGTGATTTCCGGTGGAATCGCCGCGTTGGGGAGAATCATGGATGCGATTGATCCAATCTCGTCAACGAGCGACGAGTATTTCACCTCGACCTTCACCGTGATTGGCAGATGGCCCGGGTTTTTCACCGACCAAGAGTTCAGTTGCTTCAGGCAGTCAACGAACGTGAGACACGTGGCTTGGTAATCCACGTCCTGCACGTGCATTACCTTGTAACCGGGTTTTTTTAAAGCGGGGATTTTCGACGCCGTGGGCTGGTCAACGAGTCGCATGCCATCGCGATTGTAGTAGCGGCCACCTTCAGGATCCGGAAACACCTGCGACAAGGAGATGACACGTGCGGAGGGGGAAGAAATGGGGGGAGGTAAACATTAGGGAGAGGAGAGAGCAGGATCAGACAGCTACGCTTGCTGCAGCTCCAGCTGTAGCTGTGGAGGGGAAGGGAGTGTAGGAGGACGATGGCGACAAGGGAATAGGAGGAAGCGGGATGAGAGACAGTCACGTCGGGCAGTGATGGGACAGATGGTGGTTCCAGACCCGCAGTGTCACGTAGAGAAAGGAAGGACGAGTCGCGAAAGTGCTACGCGTTTTTCCAGGTGACCGGCGAGCGAGCGAATCGGTAGGGGGAGCGTTTCTGGCATGGAAGTGGATCGATAGACGAGGCCGCGAGGAGAGAGGGGGTGTGAATCGTATGGGATTGGGAACCGACAGCTCTGTAGACGAATCTTTATCACGGATTGGTGGATATGCGATATCATGTTGTCAATGGGGGTCTTTAGATAGAGCATGGTGCTAGACATAGCAGCGTTTGTGAAACGACACTGTGTAAAGAGCGTCAGGAATATAGCGGAGAATGAGGCGGACATGGCCGAGTCAGAGAGCGAGACTAGGGACGCGAGCGGGACGAAGGCGCGTCCCATGACGACATGGCAGTGCGGTTGACGAGGCTCGCATCGCTTTCAGTTCAACGCGAAAGATTGCAGGAGAAACTCACGCGGAACGGGGGCGTTAAGCTAAAGCTCTATACTCACGTCGAATTCGAAGCTCCGGACGCCTTTTTCCAGGAGCTTGGGGATAGGCTTGTGCGTGTATTGCCAGCCCTGGAAGGAGTCTGATAGTCTTAAAGCGAGGTCAAGAAGTTTCTTCATAGGCTGGACATGGTACGAGTTGTGAACCCCCACCAGCTGAATCTGGTTTAACCGCAGTTGCGACGCACCCGTTGCTGCTTCCGTGGAGCCTAGAATGGTTGAAGTTATGCAGAGAGCCACTAATGCGACTAGCTTGGGGCAATAATCTAGCCCCATGCGAACGCGTAACACGAAGAGTGCACGGCGTTTCTGAACAGCTAATGGACTATTTACCAATTACTAGCCTGTGTTGTTTCACGCGCCCAAGATTCTCCGCTAGTTTGCTTCCTCCTGCTGTGAAAGATTGTTGGAAAAGCAGTTCAAACAAGTGGAATCCGTTGGCTCTGGATTGTGCAGTGTGCTGTGGGTGTGCTGTGTTGCTAGCTACAGATGCATTTCCCATTCACCTGCCAAGTCTTCTCTGTTTTACATATTTGGAGCCCATCGAGATTGCCGCCAGACTTGCCGCACCTGGAGGAGGGGGGAGGGAAAGCCAGCAAAAACATAAAGCACGCGGTGCTGAAGTCGCGCACTTCGCAGACTCGCGATGAATGGTAACTTCCTGAGCGCTGACTGGGACGACTATGACGGTGCGTCGCATGACACGTCCAAGCGAAACAACGCGCCGCGCGGTGGGACGTGATTCGTGGACAAAACGTGACATGACGGCTGGTGTTGTTGCTCGTGCAACCTCTGCATCTCCCTTGTGCCCGTCATCGTCTCTGAACGGTCAGTTTGACGGCTTCTAGCCGAAGCGCACCGAACCTCTTTGTGCCGGGAGCGGCCAATGGTTGCCCAGCCGCATACTTTCTCCCAACAAGGCCCAGCGAGGGAGCCAGAGCTCGCTGTGGAGCACATCCAAGCCGAGAATTTGGGCTGGTTCGGATTCAGGCTGCCTTCGGTGGGGAGTGTGCCAGGGAAGCGCAGGCTCGGACCGTACGGAAACCACCGACAACCGACAGGCAGGGCACAGAGGGTCCTTCCCAGGACCCAGACCCATCATTCTGTGCAACTACTAAAAAAATCCGCTGTATCTTTAGTCTCGTCAAGGGGTAGCTTAGGTGCAGCACAGGTCTCATTGTTTGTGATTCTAAAAAATGCATTTTTTGTGCTTGTTTGTTTGGGGCACAACTAGTGATGTACAGAATCCTAGTGCCTGACAGAGAAATCTTAATAAGCTAATACAGGTAATCATAATCGGCTGAAGAATTATTGTCTGGTCTAGGTGGTATTGAGGGCTTCCATGAAATCCAATGTGTGAAACCACACACCAGAAGCAGATCACCAAACAGCAACTGCTCCTAGCTGCTTCTAGCAACTTGCCAACAGTAGCACTCCGAGATAGAAGAACGAATGTCAAAGCATGGCACCAGTGAACTCAGAGGGAAGCCGAGGGGGCTTGAAGTGGTGCTTTTTGCTGCTTCACACCTTGCCCTCCTTCCCCTCACTGTCCATGCCCAGTTGGTCTCTCCCATCCTTGCCACTCGACATCAAAGGCTCCATCTCCTTGCCTCCATTATCACCCTCCAAGCTGTTGCTCTCCTTGCTCTTGGCCTCAGCCTTCTTCTCCTTGCTGTTCGCGTAGGACTTGTAATACAGCGACGAGAACACCATTGTCTGCGTTTCATGTAGACACGGGAAAATTCACAACTCATAAGTGGTCAGCTGTTGTCGTGTGGTGGGGCAGAGCAAGCCAGACTGAGTGTGCAGCACAAGCAGAGGGTCACCTCCTTAGAGCAAGGGTGCACTTTCCTGGGGATGGCTTTTGGGTGTATTGTCAGTGCACACCCTTTGGCGCTTGCTGATTTGAGGGCGAATTGTGCAGGGTACACAAAGTGCCTGGCGGCCCCAACTCAAGTTCCCAACTCCCATCACCCCTTTCGCTACTGACGGGGGAGTGTACACCCGCGCTACTCCGCCAACACTGACCGCTTGTTCGCGTCTCACTTCAAACCCCAGACCGGGTAACCACGTGGAGGCAAGTGATAAACCTTTGCCTCCACCCCCCCCAAAGTGCACCCTTGCTTTAAGTGAGGACATGAGTCTGCAAGAAGGCCATGAAAAAACGATGAAGAAGACGAATTACAAAAGCCACACCCATGCATGCAGCTTACCGTGCCACCATACTGGCCGAAGGTGAGCGGAGGTCCATAGAGGATAGACGAGAGGAGAATGCTCAACAGCTGCACAATGGACGGGGAACAGGGTTCCCAAGGGGAAGGACATGGGGGACAAAGAATCAGCTGATGCCACTGCAGTGCAGACAGGTCAAAGCTGGGGAGAGCCAACTGGATGCGACAGAGCAGCAGAAACAACAAATGGATTAAGAATGCGCAGGGAAACGTGTGGTAGGCTGCTTTGCTGGTCTCCACTGATGAGATGGAGGGAGGGGTGCAAGGTGCTGACCTGGCGAGTGGTCATGATGGTGGCAAAGGCAAGGGCGCCAAAGGTCTTGATGGTATAGGAGATGAAGAACTGGCTCGTGGTGGCAGACTGCACAGGTGTACCCCCACCAAGTATCAATGCAATCATGCACCCCATGCAATGTGTGCCCGCATCCATGGACCCACGCAGCAGTGCACCATTGCACCCATGCACCCAGGCACCAATGCAAACATGACCACAACATCCCATGCAACAGGTTAGTTAAAGAACAGAAAACAGTCAATCTCCAGAGTTGACAAAAAAAAACACATTGCGAAGGTTGTATGCGGCAAGAAAGGCACGCGGGGGGAGATACAGGAGGGGGAGTTTGATTTTTCCAAGAGGTGGCTGATCTTGGCCTACGCTGGTCGGTTCTGCATACGTATTCTGGTTCGAGATTTGCTAATGATGTGTGTCGTGTTTTAAAGACTGTACATTTGAAGGGGCGAAGAGGGACCTACAGCTGAGAGCATGAAGATGTGGAAGAAGCAGTCTGGGTGCTTGGTGATGAAGCGAATGGCATACACAATGCGGTAGCGCAGCCCTGCAGACACGCAGCACAGGATTGGTCAGATATGGTGGCGTGGCATGGAATGAATGGCATGGCATGCCATCGCACGAGAGGGACGGGCAGCGGTGAAAAGTGTGGGACAACACTGCAGCACATACGAAATTGGAAACACAGAACCTTTACTACACACTTCAGCGCTGCTGCAGCCTCATCCAGTCAGACAGAAGCCGGCAAAGAGCATACGCAAATAAAAAGCTACCAAGGGGCTGACGGAGTGGGGAGGGGAGAAGGAGAGAGGGGCGGGTGGGCCAAGCACACAGAGCAGGGGCACAGGGCGAGGAAAGAGAGAGCAGAGGTACGCACCGAGCAGCGAGAGCAGCGCGGACCACATGGAGATGTAGAGGATCTGGTTCCACGTGTCCATCTTGTACCCCTTGAACAGCTTGTCCTGGAATGTCGATGTGAACCCATCAAATCTGGCCGGCGAAAAAGGGACAAGGTGGGGAAGGTTTTCAGCATGGACGAACGAGGTCGGGAAGTGCAAGGCGTTTACTGTACAAATCAGACCATGTCCTGTTTGCGAATTGTGCATTTAAATTAATTTTATGTCCACTTACGCCAAGTATCCGACCATCAGAAGGACGCCCCAGAAGGTGGAATCCACCTGCCTGTGCTTCTTATTGTCCTGAGCAGGAGGGCAAATGCGGGAGGGGTCACAACCAGACGTGGCAGATGAGTGTCAAGGATGGGAACAGAGGGTCATGACATGCAGTGGCGGTGATTGTGAGCGAAGCGGACATACCCCATAGAGCACGAAGATGGCACAGCCTCCCGTGACGAGCAGGGCAATGACGTAGTCCTTGAGGTTGTACTTCTTGCCCATGATAGCCGTGCCCCATATCTGCCATACACCAATTAAACCCGGGGTGGGGGGGGTGGAAATGTCAAGTCATTTACACAAGTAAGACCACAACTCGTTGCAAGACGTCGACATGCTGTGCAGATAAGCTGAATATTGGGGACACCCCTGATGAACCAGAAAACCTTGGCAAGAGGCCATCCCCAGGTGCAAGAGTCTGCAACAACATCCAGTCACGACTAGGTTGTACTAGTGAGAAGTGTAGTACTTACCATAACGGGGATCATCTTCGCAGACTTGGCGAGAGTCTGGATGGGAAAGCTCACGAACTTGAGAGCCTGCAATCACACGAGAAGCACGAAGCACGCAAAGGTCAGAATTCAGGTTGGAAGCTCCACGTGAGAATTCTACAATTCTATATGAAACATAGATTTCAGAAGATTTCGTGAAGGTTAACAGCACATTTAACGCCAGTCGCCTCACCTCGTATTGGCATCCCGTGGCGACGACGTTGGACACGGAGACCGCGGCATACGAGTACAGAGGTGCGACGGGAGCCATGGACTTGCCTTGAATCTACAGAAACGCGAGCCGTTTGGCGGGATAGGGCTTGGAGGGGGTATTAGAAACGGCTAGAGAGCACTGATAGAAATCCATGCATATGATTCGAGAAAACGACGGGAAAGAGACGGGCGTCAGCGAACAGAGGAGGAAAGACGACAATTGTGGAAGCGGGAAACCGAAAAAATGCGGGGGCAAATAGGATGGGGAAGTGGGATTCCGTACCAGAAGCACGATGACGGCGAGGCTGCAGGTAAGAATTCGGTTGCAGAGAACGATGAACAGTGACTCCTGGAACTTCTCTTGCTCCGCACCGTACGGCTGCCGCATGATCCGCTCCTGCTCGGGCACGGAGTTACAGGAAAGACGAGGCGGAAAGGCGAGATACGAGGAGAAGATGCGGGAAGATCCGAATGAGTAGATGACGGTTAGGATTCACGCTTTGAGGACTTGGAATGTGAGATCTATCAATGTCGCGTCCAGTGTGCGTCAATGACGTCAGCTAAGCCGGTGAAACAAGTGTTTGAAATAGTCCACTATGTTGTACTGGTGATATGATGTGTTAATCATCGAAAGCTCTTATCAGAATTCAATACAGCGACGGTCGACGTATCTGAACCTGCGGAAAGGAGCAGGAAAGATTGCTCACATTGTAACCACATTCCTGGCATGACAATAAGGAGAGCATTAGAGTGCATACCTGCATGACTCCGTACACCATGAGGGTGCCTACGACGCCGACGACGCACATCGTCAGCTTCGCGGCATCGGATTTGAAAAACCCCTTGAGCCGCTCCGATGGAGACATCCTTCCCAGGCCGAACTTGGGGGAGGACACGTTAAGGAGAGAGAATGACGGCGGATGTTCCTGACCGGGCCGAGGTCGCATAGGTAATGCTCACAAGAGTCACTGAGTCCGTTAGGACAAAGTCGGTGGGATCGTAAGCTTAGAACCAGCGAGCTGCTGTTTCAGATTCGGACCAAGGCCGTATTTAAGTGAACGTGATATATGCTGTCATAGATTAACGGAGTCCAGATACCGAAACCGGGCAATGCACGTGCCGCGAGAGCGCCGAAGCCTTCCGATCTGCCAAGAGGCGATACTGATCGTGTAGACAGACAGGCCACGGAAGGCAAGTGATGCCTGGAACGAGTGACTGGGTGAGTAGGTCAAGAATCACCCAAGGTGAGTTATGTGATGTGGACGAAGCACACACACCAATAAGAGCAGTGCTGCAGAGCAGAGCCGAGCAGAGCGGAGCAAACGAACAAAGGTTCTGAAGTGAAGAAGGACCGAGCCAAAGACCGAGGCCAAACCAGGTCACGACTAGCCTGGGTGGATGCTGCGAAAGGCGGGTCGAGGTCTGGGAGGATGGCTGTGACATGGCGAAGGGGTGGCGAGGTTTCTATTACGGTGAGAAGAGCTAGGTATGATAAACGAACGGTTTGTAAGTATTTCAGAACGGTTCACTGGATAACGTAGGCAGAATTCGTTCGAACCAATGGGGGCAACAGCAGTTTGAACACCCATCACCATTGTTTGGTTCGGCAGGATTTGCTTCGTGGAAGACCTGGTTTGGCTGTGCGTCTGGTTCTACCGAGCCAACTGACCTTGTCAGTTCCCGCGAGAACCTGTCAGAGCTCGTTTGATTTGGGTTCATGATTGGCTAGGTTTGGCAGACCTCCAAGGTGTGTGCTCCCTGCTGTACGCAGTTATGTCATCTCTCGTTTGGGCTTTACAGTCCTTAGTTGCTGGATTCCTTTATCTAACCAAACTGGGAGCTTCTTTTGCAATGAAGTCCACCTCGCGTCATTTTCAGTTGATCATGTGATTGACTTGTGGAAAATGAGGGGCAGCTTTCATGCTGCTGCTGCTGCTGCTGCTGCTCCGCTCGTGGTTTATGGCGGCCTGGCCGCTATACTCGTAACGGCGTTCGTTCTTACTCTTGCCTGGCCTTCCCTATCCGTCGTTTCAACACTACCATCCCCGATTGAAGATACTAAATCCCTCACTCCTGATCATTCCAGCGGCTTAGCAGACGAAGGCAAATGGGCGCACTCGCGGACAGCTCCCTCGTTTTCGCACTCTCCATTCATCTCCCCTCCCATTTTCCGACCTCTACTCCCCCCCTCCCGTTCACCTCGACCCTGACGCCCGACGCGCACCACTTCTCCGTGCGTGCAGCGCGGCGCCAATTGCGTGGAGATGGATGTGCACATGACGCGGGACGGGCAGCTCGCTGTGGTGCACGGCACAACGTTCCGCACCAAGCTCGCGTCCACCCTGCCGCCGTTCCCAAGCGTGCAGCCCACACAGCAGGAGGGGCAACAGGGGCGCCAGCAGGGAGGGCGGGAGGAAGGGGAGGGGGGAGAGAGCAAGGAGGAAGCACCGCGAGTGGAGGATTTGCCATGGGAGGTGGTGCAGCAGGCAGACGCTGGAGGGTGGTTCAAACACAAGTTCACACACACCCCTTTACCCTCCCTCACCCACGTGGTGCAGCATTTTTGGCATGCTGATGTTACTCTAGCTCTGGACCTTAAAATTGACCTGTGTGGGGAGAACAGGCAGAAAGAGCAGGCTCGAAACGGTGTAGGGGCGGAGTGTGTGAGTGAGGAGGAATGGGCTGATCGGTATGCAGAGACCTTGGTCACATGGCTGGATGCTGTCCGGCCCTCTAACGCCTCTCTTTCTTCCCTGGAAGCGCCTCATCCGCGTCTGCGTGTGCTGCTAACCTCGTTTCACTTCCGGCTCATCGACTCCCTCTTCCTCTTTCTAGATCGGCCGTCATCCCGTGCACCTGGGCCTCTTCGACAAGGAATTGCAGGTGAGAGGACTACTTGCTCGGAGAATATGGTAACTTTCCACGATCATGCAATGATGAGAAGGTTTTATTTTCCTGTTGGCATGTCCCCATTCCCCTCCCAACACCTCTTCTCACGCTCTCCTGTCCCCTGTCGTTGATTTGCCTTGGCATATTTTTCCAACCTTGTTGCAATGGTGCATCTTCTCCAGGCCTGGCATATATATACGGCCCTAATGACACCTCCATCGCATTGGTCAATCACATTGACCCCCGGATGTGGCTGGCACCACATTTTACCCACATTCCCTCTCTGCGCGAACCATACAAAACGACATCCAAGTCACATTCTGAACGAGATGACATGAGTGCTTCAAATTCTCCATTGCACGACCGGTCTGTGCTTTCATGGGTGATTGATGAGGAGGGTTTGATGGCGTCTCAGTACCACATAGGGATTCGTGCAATTACTACTAATGACCCTGCTTTTTGCTCCAGGGCTTGTATGCACCTTTCTACTAGATGCTGTTTCAGTGATTAGCTAATCCATGATCCGCAGAAGGAAGATGCATGCTTATTTACACTACCGTATGTTGTGCAGTTCATGTATGAAATTTTGTAGACTCCATTTCACTTTCACTTTCCTAGTCAATTTTCACTTTCCCCTGCGAAGCATGTTACTGTACCTATCTTTCATCGTTTCTATGTACCCACTGCTTTCAAACACGACGTGGGTAATGAGGAAGCGCCGAGTGTGGTGCTTGACTGGCTGTTTGGAGGGGCCCTTGCTGGAAAAATGCACGTTACTTCATCCCGTCAATACAATAACGTGCATTTTTGTTGACAACTGATCCTTTGGTTGACCGGTTGCCGCATCGTGAGACACCCTGTTTCTCACTACACTGAACTGTGCCCAACTGGTGGAAAACCTTGTTATCTTTGATTTGTCTGAATGAACCATACCGAGACTTAATCTAACCACCGTTAACCGTGCTTTTCCCATCTTGACTTCACTATAACCGAATTCACAATGGCGAGAAAGAGGGTGGACAATGAATTCCGTTTCAAGCTTTCAGGGCGCATACGACAGACAGACGGTTTCCAAAAAGTCACCTCAGGTGCCTTGATTCTGTTTCAGGTTGCAGAACTTCTTGCATGTTGTCCGCCTTGTAGCCTTGCGATAGGGTCTGTCTGTACGTACACTTCCCCAAAGCTGGCTTCCCTTGGGCTTGGGCAAGGCTGTACAGTTCCTCACATCGAGTCGCAAGTACCGTAGGAGGGGAGATTTTCTGCATCTCGTCTGCCAGCAGTTCCATCCCTCCTTCCTTCCAATCCAACCCGCAGGTCTCGCTCTCGCATCACATGCCTGGTTTGACGCTTGGAACAAGCTGCCCGCTTTATTTCCACGCGGTGATTGGCTGTCGAAACATGAAAATACAACGCGGTGATTTCTACCCCTGTATTTTCGGGGTGGCGCCAGGCTGTGCGAGGGACCACGAACGATTATCAATATGTTCCACCCACCCAAACCTCGGAGCAACACTGCCACTCTCATATCCCCATCCCCCATGACTCCATCTCACATCTCACACCACCACCACAAGCCCAGCCCAGCGCGCAACAGCAAGGATCTCGCCTGCTGCTGAGCTGAGCAGATGTTTCGGTTTTCACCTGCCCATGCAGTTTCAATTCCAGCTTCTTGCTGCCCGATACAGTACCAGGTCAAGTGGGCTGAATCATGAATCAAGATCCCATCCGCCTACCCTCGCCTTCTGATACAATTCTCGCGCCGCTTGACAACTGGTCCTAAAAAAGGTTAATCTGTTTTAGGATAGGTTGGAATGGGTGGAGATGAGTTGCTCTGCGCTGGAGTTGAGGCACACGAGGGAGAGACAATCAGAGCTCGCTTCCTCTCCTCGGACCATCAATCGTGTAAAAACCCAGTCAGGCCTTTTACACTGGGCTTCAGTAGTCGCCACCACCACGTCTTTCGCCATGGGACGAGGCAAGAACATAGCAAGCTCTTAGCCTCTCCCTCCTGCCGCCTCCACCAACTATCAAGTCGCCCAGGGGCCCTCTGGGTCCCTAATCTCCCCGCGAATACAGTTTCCACCATGTTTCGCCACCACGGGCAGCTCCTCGCCGCTTCGCGAAGAGAGGCTCTTTTCGCGCTCCTTCCGCTCTTCGCGCTTCTACTAGTCGCTTCTTGCCCGCGTCTCGCGGCAGCGCAAAAGCCGTACTCGACTCTTGGCGTACCCGTCGTTATCGTAGCTGGTGGGGTGTACGACCCGCTAACGGACAAAGTCTTCAATCAGGCATGGCAGGTCAACGCGCTCACGACGCGTCAAGTCGGCGACTCCGCCAACCCCGACGCGAACAACGACGCGGCGCTTTCTGGTTGCGCCGTCGCGGTTGACGGCAGCGCGTACATCGCCTCAGGCGGGAAATACCTCAACGTACTTCAATACACGTCCACCGCACCCGTCGCAGGCACGCCGTATCCGACGCCGCTGAATGCGACGTCCATCTCCATCGGCGGCCCGTCGCAGCGCATGCTTGTCGTCGCAGACGGGACCGCCGAGGCTAACGGCGCGATCAGCATCGATCGGACGACCCTCTCGACGGTTCAGATCGTCCCCGCGGGGTGGCAATGCCTCTCCTCCGCGTTCTGCGCGGCTTCCGCGATCTTCGCGTGCCACCGCCTGTCGGACGACGCGAATGCGATCATCGAGGTGCCGTTCGATGCGGCGACGGGCGCGTTCCAGCCCGCAAGCTCCGCCATAAACGCTATTCCCTACCCTGCGACGGAGGCCGTGTGCTCTCCTCAGGGCACTTTCGTCGCAGTCCTGCGACAAGACGCGAATATTCTGTACACGTACGCGACGCCGCTTACGAGCTCCGCGACGCCGCTCACGACCACCACGCTGACTCCTGGCATGCCCGGGTCGCTCGCCGTCGACGCGATGCGCGAGGAGTTTCTCGTAACGAGCGCCGCGGATTTCCCGGGACTTCCTGGCGACGCGTACCTGGGAGCGATGGACTTTGTACCCTTTTCAGAGGGCACCGGCGTGGATCCGGGATTCGATACAAGCGGCGCGTTTGAATACACTACGTCCGCCCCCACCGGCGGGCAGGTCGCGGTGTATCCCAGTCCTCCAACCGCGTACATCGCGCTTCCGGAGGGCCTTTATGGCGTGCGACTCGTCGGCACGGGCCAGCTCGACACGGGAGCTGCGAGCTTCGCGACGCTCTCTGCGACGGTTGACGGCTGGAGCTACTTCGCCACGACTGTCTGCGCGCAGCGCCATGTCAAAGCACCGCCGCCACCGTCGCCGCCGCCTCCGCCGCCGAGCCCGCCGCCGAAACCGCCGAGCCCGCCGCCAAAGCCGCCGAGCCCGCCTCCCCGCCCGCCTCCTCCGCCTAAACCGCCCAGCCCTCCCCCGAAGCCGCCAAGCCCTCCCCCGAAACCCCCCAGCCCCCCCAAGCCGCCGAGCCCGCCGCCGAAGCCCCCCAGTCCGCCCCCCCGACCGCCTCCTCCCCCCAAACCACCCAGCCCTCCCCCCAAGCCCCCGCTCCCTCCCAGCCCTCCCCCCAAGCCGCCCAGCCCTCCCCCCAAGCCTCCCAGCCCTCCGCCGAACCCCCCGCCGCCGCGGCCGCCGCCTCCGCCGGGCACGGTGGTGACGGTAGCGTCGATATCGGTGATGTCGCTCGAGGCGGACTCGCGGTTCAACGCCGTCACGGGCACCGTCACGCACCCGCCCGCCTCCACCGCTCCGTCCGCGCGGAAGGCTCCGCCAGGTTAGCATCAGGGCTCGGCAGAAGGGGGGTTCGCGGGGCGACTCGAGGGGTGTGATGGTGTCTGCTTCCGCTTCCGCGGCCTTCGTGGCCCGTGTGCGCGTAGCTACTGGTTCCGGGCTCCTGAATTTCTCCGCATCATCCTCCGAATCTTTCTATCCCCTCGTTCCCCCTTCTGCGTATATCCCGAATCCACCTCCCGCGTTCCCCAACGTTCACACGCGCTCGCTTTTCCTCTCCCGCTCCCTCCACCCTCCCGCTCCCTCCACCCTCCGGCTCCCTCCCTCCCACCGCGCTTCCCCCTTTTCCCCACCCCCCTGCGCGCAGTGCACAGGACGTGCTCGCTGGGCGCGTTCCACAACTGCCCCGTGACGCTCGACTGCCGCGATAACCGCGCTGCCAAGGGCTGCTCGTGCCTGCTGGGGAGCAAGAACACCACGTGCCGATGTGAGCTTACACTCCAAATGGGATCATGGGAAGGAGAGACTCACCCTTGCTCCCTCGCTCGCTCGGCCGCTCGATCGTGCCCGCCTGAGACTGCTGCGGTTTTCTGGTTGTCATTCGAGGTTTTTTAGTTCGGTTCTCTTCTTTCAACTCCGTCCTTATTCTCCTCCGATCTCTTCCGCTCCCCCTTCCCCGCACCCCCTCAGCAACTCATTTCTCCCCGTTCTTCCCCCCATTGCCCACTCTTTCCCCTGTTGCCCGCTCTTCCCCCCACTGCCCGCTCTTCCTTCCCCCATCCCCGTGCGTTCCCACATCTCCGTGCGTTCCCACATCTCCCCCGCAGACCCGCACAACTGTCTGGACGCCGCGTCGTGCCCCGTGCGCGCGGTGTGCAGGGAGAACGCGGCGGGCGTCAAGGTGTGCGCGTGCCCCAAGCGCTACATGCCGCTCAAGCGCCACGCCAGCGACCGCGCATTCGCGTTCTGCGCCAGGTTGCGCTGCGCGGGGACGGCCGCCTTCACTGGCTTCAGCTGCACGCTGCGCGGTGAGTGGCGTGGCGTGGCGTGGCGTGGCGTGTCTGTGTGTGGATTGATTGCTTGCTGGCACAAGTGGGGGTTGGTTGATTGGGCTGTTCTGTGTCATTCCACCTCTACGCGCTTGTTTGTGTCCCCCATTTTGCTCTCTGCGCTTTTTAACTGAAAGGATCTTCTGCTCTGCATCCTTCCTGCACCCTTACCTTCACGAGCAATTGGTCCTCTGCCTTCTCGGTCCAGTGTGCTTGCTCACCTTTTCGCTCTTTGCCTCCTGCATCCTTCCTGTTCCTCCTGTGGTGCTTGTTTGCAGCCATTGCTGACAATGCTTTCGGCGCCGCTACTGGCATAATTGGATAGGATACTATTGAGCAAGACAGGGTAAAGGCATACATCCCAGCACAATCCAGCCCACGAGATGCCTGCAGCACCTCGCAACCAAGGGATTGGGTTGGTTGGGATGGATTGGATTGCCTTGTTTAGCACCCACCGTACAAAATTGTTTGGTTTTGCAAGATGTGTGTTATCTTGGATCTGACTTAGTGGGGATTTATGGGGGTTGCTGGGGTTAATAATGATACTGTAAGTGCATTTTGAATTGACTCTGTTATTGTTTCCAAACGGAGCGCTAAAGGGATCATAAGGTACTACTGGTATTAGCTGTGGTATCCTACTACTGGTACCGTATATGCTTCTATCCATGGTTGAAGATCCTTTTTATCCCACACCATGCATGGAGCAAGTTGCCTGCACCTCTTGGACCATGCACAACGTTTTTATGATAACCACAGATATTCTCACAGTACTGGAAAGTACAGGACATGTATTCATGTCAGTTCTACATACCGTACTTTAACTCGGTACCCATAAACAAATCTCATGCAAGGACCACAAAACAAACAAGACGTCGGAAAATACACCGTCCCTACCTACCCGGACGTATCCAAAGGAGGAAAAGGCACAGCAGTGATTGGCTGAGCCTGCTCCAGCAGCTCCCTCTTGAGCCCAGTGTACCCGGGCGGGCCCAGGCACACAGGGCGGAACTTGATGAGTGATGCGGGAACGAGCTCCTCTTTCTCCAGTGAGGGCATGGGTGATGCAGGGCCTGCTGCCATGGATGGGATTGCCTGGGAGCGGCTGGCCATGGGGATGGGGTGCAGCAGCTGGAACTCCTGTGTGGGGTCCTTGAGTGCCTCTGCCACGAACTGGGGAGAGGTGGGGTGGGGTGGGCCGAAGTGGTGGGGAAGGGGAAGTGAAGGGAAGGGACAGCGAGGGAGGAGTGCATTGAAGTGAGCATTAGAGCGAGGAAGGGAAGGAACTCCTGTGTGGGGTCCTTGAGTGCCTCTGCCACGAACTGGTAGAGGGGGTGGGGAAATGAAGGGGAAGGAAAAGGGAGGGGAGGAGAGGAAAGGGAGGGGAGGGAACAAAGGGAAGAAGAGGGGAGGGGACGAGAGAAGGGGAGAGAAGGGAAGTGGAGGGGAGGAAGGAGTAAGTGGAAATGAGCATTGAGATGGGCTCTATAACGCTTTGTTATGAATGGTATGTGTAAGGGCAGTGAATGTTCACGCCAAACCCAACCTCACACACATGCCTCAACCCACCACGCACCCATCCACCCGTGTGTCCACCCACCCACGCACGCACACACCTCATAGAGCGCAGCAGTGGGTTCACTGGGTCGGAACACGCCCTGCAGCACGAGCCCATCGGGGAACATGACGCGCACGATGGCCGCACGGTACCGGCGCTTGAGAGCAGCGGCCTGCCTCTCGCGCATGGCGCGCGTCATGAGCAGCTGCGCGCCCTCCTGTGCGCGGCGCCGCGCCATCGCCTCCTGCCGCACGTCCTCTGCCGTGCGGTCGAAGAAGGAGTCTGGTACCTCAATGCGCGCCGCCTTGTTCTCCTCTGTGGATAGGAACACCCGCACCTGGTGTTGGGCATGCGAGGGGGGGTGCAAGAGGAGCAGGGGAGGGAGGGGGGGGGAGTACAGGGAGGGATGCAGGGCACGGGAAAGCAGGGAGGTGTGTAGGGGAGGGAAGTGCAGGGAAAAGGATCCGGGGCAGGATGCGAGAAGGTGAGAGCTGAGAGGATGAACGAACCCGAGTATGATCCCAACAATTGCATGTCTCACGCTCACCTGCTGACGTGACCCATGCAACAAAATCCGATCTGTGCACAACCCCATTGCATTCACCCATTCCATACCTGCCGGTCAATCCTGGGCATGGGTGCCATTGCCTCCTGCTCCCCGCCCTCCGCTGACGCCGCAGAGACTGTTGCAGCAGCAGCAGGAGTAGCACCGGCACTCCCTCCCGCAACACCAGCTCCAGAACCAGCAGCCGTAGCAGCAGCGGGAGGAGCAGCAGGAGCAGCAGGAGCACTACCCTGCCCTCCCACGGCCGTGAGCACCGCCACCGCCTCACTCACCAGCTCCAGCCTCACATCCGTCATCACCGCCCACCGCTCCACACCCCCTGCCACCACACTCCCCCCAGCTGCACCGCCTTCCACCGCCTCTTCCACCACCTCAAACCCCACGGACCGCAGCAGTTCCATTGCCCCAGCTGCCTTGCCAACCGTATCCGCAATCCGCGGGTTTCCCATGCGAATGCGCTTGAACTTCGGGTTACCAGGGTCGGTTACAATGTTACGCAGGATGCGAGTAAGGATGTCAAGAGTGGCTGCTGGGGGACTGGCAGAGAGCACAACAGCAGCAGCGTGATGTACTGACTCCATTGCATCATCGTGAGTGCCCGTATCCGTATCCGTATCTGTAATCGCCCGTGGGGCTGTGCCTGTGGGGTTGTCTTCGCCCGTCAGCAGTTGGTTCTGGTTGTGTGCAGACATGGCTTGCACTGTACCTCTTGATGCTGCTGCTGCTGCTGCGGCTCCTGGTGCTGCAGACAACGCTGCTGCTTCGGTTGCTCCAATCACACTGCCTCCTACCTGCTGATCTGTTATTGCTGACTCGTGTAGAGCTGCTTCTCCTGATGCTGCCTCGGCTGCTGCTTCTGCTGCTACTTCTGCTGCTGTCTGCGCTGCTGCCTGTGTCTGCATCGGGGCTGCTCCCGCTTCGTCTGTGGCAGTGGAGCGCTCCAGTCCTCGCGTCAAACATTCGTCCACGTGAGCTGCCACGTCTGCTTCGCTGCCCGAAAATACTGAGCACACAGGACACGTGGCACGCACCATACCAGACGATGAAGCGGCTCCCCAAGCACCGGCACCAGCGCCAGCGCCAGCGCCCGCACCGGCACCCGCACCCGCGCCTGCACCAGAACCAGCGCCAGCGCCAGCACCAGCGCCCGCACCCGCACCCGCACCCGCGCCAGCGCCTGCACCGGCGCCACCTCCCCCCGCAAATCCTGGGGAGCGCGGCTGCTGCGGAAGCTGCTGCTCCCGCGCCTGCTGCACCTTCCCCTGTCCTTGACCTTGCGCCGTCGGCGGTCCCGCTCCCGCTCCCGCCCACCGCTGGTGCATCTGCTGCCGCCACTCCTCCTTCTGCTGCTTCTGCAGCTGCTCCTGTCGCTCCGCCGTCTCATGCAGCGCCCGCCCCGCCGCTGCGCCAGTGCGCGGAACGCCTAGCGGGCGCGATCCCCCCGCTCCGCCGGAGGGACCTTCTCCGCCGCCGAGCTTGCGCCCCTGGCCCTGAAAGCTGGATTGTTGCGCGAACGGCGAGGTCCATCCTTTCATAAGCTCCTTGGCCTTGGCTGCTATCTCATCCATGGACAGTGAGAGATCTGTGCGAAGGATTCCACAATCCGGGGGAAAACGTGCGAAGCTTGTCGAGGCGACCTGCTATAAAAAAGGAGCTGAATTGATTCTTGCGATGGATCTGTCAGCTCTTGGCCGCAACGATTGACTGACCGTGAAGTGGGAATGAAAGTAGCAATTTGTTTGCCGCGCAGTGCAGCGAAGCGAATGGATGGAGTGAGATTTCAAGAAATGTGGCCCTGGGAATGACGAGTCTCTGGTGGACTTGGCTTCGAAAGTGCTTCCCTACAAATTGCTTGGCTAAAAGAAACAAATTACCTGTTTCAATGTGACTTGTTCCAGAGTGGCTTGTTTCAGTGTGGCTTGTTTCACTATTGTTTGTTACCGCTTGACATACTCGGGTGTGCCATTGTATGGCATGGTGTGGCATGTCATTCGGTGGCACGGTGTGAGAGACAACAGCTGCAAGGGAGTGCTTCAGTGTAGGCTAGAAACACCTGGATGTTAGTATGAGGAATGCCGGTGTGGGGCAAATGTGTAAAGGGTATCAGGGATACATGCCTGCGTAGCTCTGCCTGCAATCACAGGTTGTTCACCAAATCATTATTATAATATACCCTACCCTGGTTTCAGCTAACATTGGTTGGAAGGGATTGATAAACACGTGAGAGAGCCTCTGTTGCAAAGTTGCTTCATTTTTTTTATATTCAATCCTCAGATATACTAGATGCATAACCCAGAAGTATATATAAAGATGTATATACCTCTCCTTGGTAGCTAGCAATTCAATCAACTCCAATGTGGCAATTCACATAAGAACCTGGGGAAAATGTATATGGTATTTCCAAGGAGTACACATCAGAGATTGGTGTATTGAATTATGATTATTGCACTGCCATTGTCAGGAATGCTAGGCCCATTTGCCGGAGACTGCCCGCAAACCCCACATTGCGCTACCCGAAGCCTAGCCGTTGGAGCAAGTGTCTGAACTTTGACGAACTCGCGCCCCACTCTCTGGCCAGTCCGCGCATATCCGCCTTTGCGTCAGACTTTCGGGTTTGCGCGTCTGAAAACTTGCGACCGACAACCCCTTTCCGCTTGGCGAATATTGCATGGGATGGAGTGTCACGAAAGTAGCCATCATCGTCAACTTTTTGTAACAACCCTTTGCCACAATTGTTCATCTGCGAGCGATTTCAACTTTCGCCAACATATTTCGCTCATCGAATTTCCACCGCCCTGGTCCCGCCGTTGCCGTGTGCCCGAAAGCAATTCGGGAATCTCGAGGTTGGTTGGGAAGGCAGGCAGCACTTGGCATGGCACATTCCCCGCCACACCGCAAACTCGCCTCGTTTCTTCCTCAACGTGCCGCTTCTCACGCCCACCTCACTCAACATTCGCCTTTCATTCTGCTCCTCACCTCTAGTTGCTCACCGCCAGATGCTCAGCGCTAGTTCCCACGAGACGCTTACGCTGCTGTTATTCTTTCGCTGGCGACCGATCTGTTTCTTGGGACGAGAAAACGCGGAGCTTGGAGAAGGAGTTGGCGGAGCGTCAGCAGGCAAATTCTACGTCGCCTCGTGCTGTTTTTGACCGTCGATTTCGTCGCATCCTCCGTGAAAAGTCGTTGATCGGGCGTCGCGAGAAATGTTTTCGGGCGTGGGATGTTGGTGCGAGTAGAGTCGAAGACGAGAGCGACGACGAGGTACGATGGGGTCCGCGCCGTTGTGCTCTTGAACGTCGCTGCCTGCTCCTTCCCGCGCGCTTATCGTGCCTCCAGTCGCACCCGCGCTTTTGATGCACCGATTTCAGCGAGCGCTTCTCACGCTCGTAGATGCTATTTCGCGTTTCTCCCTCCTTCAGGAGAGCGTTTGGCAGAATGGACGGCGGAATCGACGGCCGTTTGCGAGATCTGCGCGTCGTCACGGCGAAACCGTCGTCCGCACGTCGTCGCACGGCGGAACCGTCGCCCGCGCGTCGTCGCACGGCCATATCGTTGTACGCACGTCGTCGCACGGTGAAATCGTCGTCCGCGCGTCGTCGCACGGCGAAACCGTCGTCCGCGCGTCGTCGCACGGCGAAATCGTTATCCGCGCGTCGTCGTACGGCGAAATCGTCGTCCGCACGTCGTCGCACGTCGAAATCGTCGTCCGCGCGTCGTCCCACGGCGAAATCGTCGTCCGCGCGTCGTCGTTCGGCGAAAACGTCGTCCGCGCGTCGTCCCACGGCGAAATCGTTGTCCGCGCGTCGTCGCACGGCGAAAACGTCTTCCGCGCGTCGTCGCACGGCGAAATCGTTATCCGCGCGTCGTCGCACGGCGAAACCGTCGTCCGCGCGTCGTAACAGGACGAAATGATGCCGCCCCAGCAACATCAGCTCTCGGTGCTTCTTTCACCGCCAGCTAAGTGCCTTGTTGTCAAACACCATGCACCGCCAGCTAAGTGCCTTGCACCATGCATCATACTCCCTCAATCTATGCTCTTTGTCACACCCATTAGACCTCCCTCCCCCAAGGTAGTAGGTATATTTTTACTTGGTACAGCCTCAGGTATTTGTTTTTGTTTGGTTCAGCTGGTACGAGGTCTATTGGGTGTGCCACTGCAGCAGTCCATTCATGCATGCATCATGCTTGCGCTTGCTGCACTCTTCACTTTCACTTGTCTTGGGTTCTTTCCTCACTGCTCTCCCCACTCCTCTGCGCCCCCTTTACTTTCACGTTGTCTTCCCTCCCGCCTCCCTTTCTCTCTCTGTCACGATCTGCTTCCTCTCGTCCCAGCAGGTCGCTCACACGGGAGTGCTAGGGAAGGGGGGGGACAAGGAGTGCACAGGCAGCAGCAGCTCTCCACCCAACCCACCTACAGCTAAGTACCCGGCCCTTCCTCTCTTCTCCCAACCCTCGCACTGTGTTGCTTTGCTGGTCATTCTTGCACCATGCATCACACTCCCTTCTTCACTGCTCTTTGTCACACCCATTAGACCTCCCTCCCCCAAGGTAACAGGTATTTTTTTATTGGTACAGCCTCAGGTATACGTTTTAGTTTGGTTCAGCTGGTACGAGGTCTCTTGGGTGTGCCACTGCAGCAGTCCATTCATGCACACATCATGCTTGCGCTTGCTGCACTCTTCACTTTCACTTGTCTTGGGTTCTTTCCTCACTGCTCTCCCCACTCCTCTGCGCCCCCTTCACTTCCTCGTTTTCTTCCCCCCCTCCTCCCTTCCTCTCTCTGTCCCAACGCGCCCCCTCCCGTCCCAGCAGGTCGCTCACACGGGAGTGGCAGTGGTGAGAGGAGAGGGGGGCAGCACTCCACTCGTCTGGGATGGGATGGGAGAGTATCGGGATTGGGTCGTCTGGAACAAGGTCAGCATCTTTTCCCTCGTGCACTCATGCTGCTGCTTGTTCTTCTCCCCATGCTCACTTCCCGTTTTTGCTCCCTTGGTTCCTTGTAGCTTGTGCCTACTCTTCTCCCCATTCTCACTGCTGTCCCTTGATCCCCTGCCTACCCCTGCCTTGCTCCCTCCCTCCCAGTACATTGAAGGCTGTAGCAGGGCAGCACCACGGGGGCAGCAGCAGGGCAGCAGCGGAGGGGAGGGGAGGGGCAGCGGCAGCAGCAGGGGAAGCAGAGTAGCAGACCGGGAGTGGCAGTGGCGGCTGACATGGAGTGCACAGGCAGCTGCTGCTCTCCACCCAACCCACCCACAGCTAAGTACCCCGCCCTTCCTCTCTTCTCCCAACCTAAGTTGGTCTCTTACGTTTTTTGAGGTCTCGTAAACGTAAATTTCGCGTAATTTAGCGTAAACGTAAACGGAAAGGTAAAATTACGCGTAAGTATGAGGCGGGCAGGAAAAAAGAACTAATGTGATATATTTTTTTTCTGGATTGTGTACGGGTACCAGATCCTACCACTAATTTGTCGTGTACCTGCATAGAAGAGCGCCTTTCAAGTCTGTGAAAGTTTCAGATTCAGCGTTGACCGGGTTAGTAAGAGAGAAACACGATAGGTTGCGAACGAGCTGCTAGGTTGACGTCGAACAAGATAGCGAGTTACAAAACTAGGTTGGAGGGAATCTTCCTGATGCTCTGGTCGTTTTTTTTCCTCGGGCAGCTCAGAAAAGTTTTTAGGTGACCGTAAACGTAAGGCCAAATCAGGGCGACCGTTCGTAAACGTAAAAATTGTCGTAATCGTCCGAAAACGTAAGGAACCGAAAACGTAAGATCCAACTTAGCTCCCAACCTCGCACTGTGTTGCTTTGCTTGTCATGCTTGCACCATGCATCACACACACTCCCTTCTTCACTGCTCTTTGTCACACCCATTAGACCTCCTTCCCCCAAGGTAACAGGAATTTTTTTGTTGGTACAGCCTCAGGTATACGTTTTAGTTTGGTTCAGCTGGTACGAGGTCTCTTGGGTGTGCCACTGCAGCAGTCTCTTGGGTCTTGGGAGGGGAGGGGGGCAGCACTCCACTCGGCTGGGATGGGATGGGATGAGAGAGTATCGGGATTGGTTCGTCTGGAACAAGGTGAGCCTCTTTTCCCTCGTGCACTCATGCTGCTGC